ACATAGCAGATACACTAAACAGCATTGGTGTTGCATACAAAGATAAAGGTGACCATGACCAGGCTATTCAATACTACAATCAGAGTCTGGACATGTACAGAGAGATATATGGAGACCAGTCACATCCAGACATAGCAAGGACACTAAACAACATTGGTAATGCATACAGGAGTAAAGGTGAACATGACCAGGCTATTCAATACTACAATCAGAGTCTGGACATGTACAGAGAGATATATGGAGACCAGTCACATCCAGACATAGCAAGGACACTAAACAACATTGGAATTGCATACTGGAGTAATGGTGAACATGACCAGGCTATTCAATACTACAATCAGAGTCTAGACATGTATAGAGAGACATATGGAGACAAGGCACATTCTGACATAGCAATGACACTACACAACATTGGTGTTGCATACAGGAGTAAAGGTGAACATGACAAGGCTATTCAATACTACAATCAGAGTCTGGACATGTACAGAGAGATATATGGAGACCAGTCACATCCAGACATAGCAAGTATACTAAGCAGCATTGGTGATGCATATTGGAGTAAAAGTGAATATGACCAGGCTATTCAACGCTACAATCAGAGTCTGAACATGTACAGAGAGATTTACAGAGACCAGCCACATCCAGACATAGCAACCACACTAAACAAAATTTGTATTGGATACTCTAACAAAGATGAGATTGATAAGGCTATTAAATACTCCGATCAGCGTAAAGAATTGGAGAAACATTTTAACAAAAACTAGATTCATCATACACAATACACATCAAGTCTTGTTGCACATGTACTATGGAAACGAACATTGTAACATCACACAAACCATTATTAAACCACAAATGTCTAGATACTTATGCCCATCTCATGAAATATACTACAGAATAAAAAATGTTAAAATAATAATCTTAATTTTCAACATTACAGACTCAACAATTTAAAAACATGATTAATTTCCACTACATGTAGACATTCAACCAATGGGAGTATTCATTGACATTGAGGTGTTTTTGAAATTTTGGTATTTGAAAAAAGACTCCTAAAGTGGAAGTTCAATTTAAGATCACATTTTATCCAATCTTTGTTTTTATAGTGTAATTGCAAAGCACCTGTATAATCGACAGGGACATAATATTTGTAATTTTTCAACTGGGGTACATATTAAAGCAGCAACAAGGAATGTGAAGAGAAAATAGAGAAATTTTACCTTTTCTGAGCTATCAGGGGGAAGTTTGGTCTAACATCTTCTTCCTTATTCCCATTTTATTAAATGTATGCATATGGCAACAGCCAGTAGAACTGACAAATCGTTTAAATCTCTAATTCTATACAAGCAGTCAAACTTATGAGATTTTTCAATTTCAACGTGGAAACACCTAGTGGGTGAAATTGAAACTAATTTCACTGGCTGCTAGAGTCGACAAAATTCTGATAGTGTGAGACTTTTTATGAAAATGTTTCTAATAGAAATCATTTGACGATTATAAGAAAGCATTAAAAGTCAAACCAGAAGTGGAATCTTAAATAAAAGTGATTGATAATAGTAACCATGTCAACCAGTCAGGGCACGCCTTAAGCGTCGGACAGCTGGTCGGACAGCTGACATTATCTGGTTACTTTTGATACTGAACAGTTGATTTTTTCACTAGGTATAGGAAAATAACATTGCAACTGGTCAGTAATGCCTTTTTGACCAGCAGCTCTGGAATCCTTAGGGCATACACTGCAACCAGTAGCTTCTGCTCCAGTGCCAGAGTGAATTTTCTTCTCATAACTTCAATGTATCAGTCCATGTCTACAGGAAATGAATGTCTATTAGCATCCTTAAACCAGTACGGTCCAGTATCACCACTATGACCTAACTTTCACCAGTCAACCTCTCTACATCACATATTTGATGCTCAGAAGGCTAAACCTGAGCCAAAAAGTGCATTTCCATTAGTTGAAGGTCATTACAAACTTCAATCCGCAATTAACTACAGCGATTCAGCAGCAAAGACCTTGGATTAAGCACATCACAAACTATTGGGCCGTGCTCTCATTATGGTGGTATATCAACATAAAACTTACACCACACACATCTTACATGGCTGTAGGTCAGGTCTATGAAAAAATTGGGAGATTTTCCAGTTGTTAGAAAATGCTACATTGTCAAAAGTGTAAATGATTTTTTGGACCACCCTGTACATGTTTAAATGCTATAACACATTCGAAGCTTTCATTTTACGACAGGCCCAGGATCAGGGGATATGACTCGGCGCGCTCCTTGTTGCTGCTTTTATATCCACCATGTACATATATGAAGTGTGTTTTTAAACATGAAAGCTGTTTTTCAAGTGTCATAAAATGATTAATCACAACAAAAATGTCATGTTAAAGGATTTAAGCCATGGACTTGTTTGCTAAATCTGATACCATGAAGGTGTTGTTTCTAAATCTTTGCATGACTGCGCAGCAGGAATGCAAAATTTAAGGAAACAACGCTTAAGTGGAATAAAGCAGCTACAATGCATTGAGTCTTGGGCTTAAATTCTTTTCACACATTGCAAACTATTTTGATTCTACAAAATCACCTAAAAGCTAGAAAATTACTAAAAGAACATATTTTCAATGAAACCTTTTCAACCACAGATGAGTCTTTTAGAATATACCTGTGCATAATTATATAAGACTTGTATAAATCATATATGGCTTATTGTAATGTATGTTGAACTGTACATAAAATATTGGATATATATAAATATACTGCATATAAATGTTAGATGTGCAAATTAGTTTAGAATTTCACTTAAATATATGGTTGCCAAATGCGTCCTCAGTATTAGAGACAGAGTTGCAAATGACCATGCCATTCTGTTGAAAATCTGAAAATGACATGCCATTCTGTGAAAATTATGAATAAGTGCCATCCTAGTGCATCAGTTTGCACCATTGCCACAAAGGTGAAATATTGAGACAATTTGGTCAAAACTGGCATAATTAGGATTTGGTATCCTGTTAAGAAGATCACTGGTTTCTGAAATGAATGAAATTTGTCTGTAAATAATGTACAATAAATTTTCATGTCTCTGACATTGATGTAAAATATATTAACCATGTGGTGTAAAAATCAAAAAACTTTTAGGTTTTGCATTTTTAATGCTAGAATACAAGGTGATGTAATAAGTAAGTTAAAGCAGAACAAATGGTTGGCTCTCAGTTCATCTCAATATGTAGCTTTATGTATGATTGAGGAAATAAAAAAAAACTTTAAAAAAAATATGTTACGGGTTAAGTGATTATATTGAAAAGAATACTATCAATTGACCCACTGACATAGTTGATGGAGATGGCCATTTTGCATCAAGGTCACCGGAAGTGTGACGTCATATCGACGTTAGTCGCCATATTAGGACCCAAGAAAGATGGTAAAATATGCCTCGCAAACATACAAACTCAACAACTGACCAACTCGATTTATTTAAACATATTCATTCATTCCAGACAAAATTAAATTAATAAGCTGAAAAATACAAAATATTGTCCAAGTTTGACTCCCGATCTTGAAGATACTTTATGAAAACAACACCAGAGATTATTGATTTATGATGTAATGACTTATTAATTGATAATGGTGGCATATTACCACTTTACACCCAATCCTTTATGTATTGTGTATGTCTCTTTACTGTATCTAAACGATTTCTTACCATATAAAGGATGAATTTTGATGTTTACAGCAATATTTGATTTCAAAATTAAAAAGTAATCCGCTATCTTCAGTTCTGCTCAATTACATTGGCAACTTCCGGTCTATGTGTTCGTGAATTTCAATCAGTTTTTATTTTCCTAAGTTGAACTGAGAAATATTTCCTGTTAAAATTAAAACACTGAAGTGTATAATGACAAAATCTCAAAAAATAAAACCCCAAATAATTTTTTTTTAATTCACAATTTCTTTCTTTTCATATTTTTTTGTCAAGTCAAAATCGTAGTTTAAACCTGATTTCTTTACAAGCTATGCTTAATGTAAGTGTTAAATAACATAAAAAATGTTACACCTTACATCCTACATTGATTTGATGTGAAATAGTGATCATTGACATGATTTTGGGCTGTTATGTTTGGATCTTTTCAATTTTATTTTACCAGTTTTCTTTTTTCTCAGTCAAACTTGATCCCCGATCTCTGTCGATGTGATGTCATTCATTAATTATGCACGCATGCACAGTGCAAAAAAGAAGGCAATATGGCGACTTACACAATTCTGAGCCAGAGTGGAGGTCTCAAAATTGGAATGAATATGTTTGTTTATGCATCTATCGAGGACATATGTAACCCAACTAATCTTTTTAACAATAAACTCAATATTTTAATGAATTATACTTATTTTGTGAGCTTATGACCCCTTTAAATAAATTATGACTCCCATTACTCCCATTTAGTCAAAGTAATGTTGTAGCTTTTCTGCTGACATTGTTTGTTTAGAGTAAAATGTAACCTTTGCATTGTAAATAAGACAGACGGGTTTATGTTTTCAATATGGCTGCCAACCCGAGCATTCATTTCATTAACTGAAATGTGTATTTACCATTTAACTGTGTTTTTTAAGTAGGTAATTAATAGCTCATTTGAAATTATTCAATATTCCTTATGAGAAGTGTCAAATTTTTTATATTTGGAAAAATGCGTTCAGTTAGAAGATCATTCTCTGATTTATATGTATATTTCAAATATGGGATAAATAAAAGCCATTTTGTTAAATGTACCTGAATGCAGCCTCATGTCTTATATTTATCAAGTATTTCACATTACGGGGTATTGTGTCAGCATTGCTCTATCGCTTATTATGAATCATATATACTTGCAGGAAATCATGATTCTGATTTAGAATAATTCCTTAAAGCTTACGTGACCATCATCAAAGGATTATTTCCTTACAAAAAGTGAGGATGAAACTGTCTTTTAAAGAAGTGAATTCAAATGATTGGAATGTATTACTACTTACTGGGTCAGTCATTAGAATCTGCCAAGTCTCTGGCAAGTGTTTCTTACTAGCAGATTTAGGGATGCTATTGTAATTGTATTTTAAACTATATCAACGAAATAAATAAATAATAATAATTAAAAAAAAAAACTGACCCAGTAAGTAGTATTGTGTCAGCATATCTATATCGCTTATTATGAATCATATATACTTGAAGGAAATCATGTTTCTGATTTCGAATAATTCCTTAAAGCTTACATGACCATCATCAAAGGACTATTTCCTGACAAAAAGTGAGGATGAAGTCTTTTAAAGAAGTGAATTCAAATGATTGGAATGTATTACTACTTACTGGGTCAGTTTTTTTTTTATTATTATTATTTATTTATTTCGTTGACATAGTTTAAAATACAATTACAATAACATCCCTAAATCGCCAGAGGGCATTATATAGGAATGGTGAGAGGCTGGGGATGGCAGGCAGACAGGGTCCCGGACCGGAGCAGGTGTGACAGGACAACAGGATATCAGAAAGAGAGACATGAGGGAGGGAATTAGCTATTGTCTATAATGAAGTCAAGTATCAGTGAAATGGCTTTAGAGTTTACATCTATGCTTAAGTTTGTTTTCAAAATGGAGATAAAATCATACTGGGGAAGATTATTATTGAGAGAAGGTTCTAATTCAGCAAGTTTATCCCAGAGATCCTGTCTTTCTAAGGTTAAGTGATTGCACTGGAAAAGAATATGCTTTAAGGTTTGAGAGCTGCCACAAGCACAATTAGGGCTGTCAACAGAGTTAAAATTATTGGCATAAAATTGAGCTTTAAAAAATAAGTCAGCTCTTACTTTATTTACCACTATCTCATGCCGTCTAGAAAGATTGAGTTGACTTGTGGTCAAAATTTTAGAGGGGTTTTGGAGGAAAAGCCGTTGGTGTTTTTTGAAATTATGAAGAGTTTTCTTGGTTTTAATAGAAGGGGGAGCTCTAGCCATTTTGAGATTGCAGAAGGTATTGCTGAGGATGAAAATCTAGCAGAGTATCTTATGGGCATTTTGAATGGATCAATGTATCTCAAGTTTCTATTCCTAACATTACTATACTTATCAAAAATGTCTGTGATATATGAGGGACTTGTACCATTGGCAACTTTGAACATAAAATTATTTGATTGTATTCTACGTCTGGATCAGTGTAGTCATTAAGGGGGAAAAAGAGACTGGTCATACGGACCTGTTGATCATCAAAGTTAAGTGGTCCGTATCAAAATAGCCTGGACAAAATGACCAGCACCTCAAAAAAGTCCCTGGTCCGTATGAAATGTGGCCGGTCAATCAAAATCTTGTTAAACAATAAAGAACAATATATCAACAAATTGTTTTATGAGTCATGTTTAAAATTAAATCAGTATCATTAAATGAATGATCTGAAGAACATGTAACCTCTGATTATGACAGTTGTGATGAATTTGAAAACACTTACAGTGAGTATGACTCGGAAAATGAAATTAATGTGGACATTGAGGACCTTTGAGGACCTTTTAAGGACCCTTTTATTTAATGATACTGATTTAAGACAAGAAAGACTAAAAGTGCTTCTCTGATCTTAGTGGAATCCTTGGAATCCATGGAGGATACACTGGCGGATTAGGGGGGGGGGGGGGGGGCTGGGGGCCTGGATTGGCCCAGAAAAAAAAATTGGGCCAAAAAAAGGCCTTATTTTTTAATTTCAGGCCAAATTTTGAAGAAAATGGGCCTCAAAATTTCCCACTTTTTGGTTTTAGGGGCCCAAAATTTTTTTACGCGCAAGTGCAGATGTTTTTTTCTCGGACCTGAAAGGACAAGGTGCAATTATTGGCAAATATCCCTATGGTCAAAATGAATCATTCGTAGGTGTAACATGAAGAATAAAATGTCATATAATACTTTGGAAAATATTAAAGTGCTTGGACACACATAAGCTGAGATAGGGATCATTTCGTTCAGCAAGGTTGTATTGACTTACATGGGGCTGTACACCATTGACTTAACATGAGGATATCAGCAGATCCAAATAGAGGCCATTGGTTTCCATTGATTATCACAGAAATACCAAAAATACACTATGACCTGAATCAATTGCAAACTTAATAATTTCACAAAACGACACAAATGGTTTATCTCATCAAATGTGCAAATATGAAGTTTGCAATCGATTCAGGTCATACTTAAAATTAAAAGATTGTACATTTTTTCATCATTTTTTTCCCTACAAAATGGCTATAGAAAAATGATCCAAAAACAACTTTTACACTTATCAAATATCATACAAGTTTGTAAAACCAAAGATTATACTATTATATTTCATTATGTAGTAACATATTTGGATAAGATGCAGGGATGCGTAGGATGTAAATGGATTTTGACAGACACAAAAATACTTCCTGGTTTGGAATCTATGCCTCTACACTTCATGATTGAATTATGACCCTAATAAGTGGCCTATACATCAATACAGTGCTGAATATAGGTCAACAAGATACTAGTGTGCATATAAATGTAATAATTGAAGCAGAATACTCATTTTGAAAAATCAGATGAATCATTTTTTTCCCATGGGGAGATCCCAATGGAGGGTGTATAAGGTCCTTTGGGCCCCCCCTTGTTGGTTTCCAGATCCGCCCCTGGGATATCCAAGATATTGATTGAAATGTCACAGTGAATGTAAACATACCAGAAGCAATCTAAAACTAGCTAGAAATTGATTCGCTATATCGACTTTCGAAACATTTTATATTGTACGTTCGGTAATTTAATGTATCATTTTGCTTTACCGGTTTATAAACGGTTGTTCTTAGAAAAAAATTAAAAACAAAAAAATGTTTTTATGAATTCTTGTTAATAACTTAAATCTGGCGATTTAATCATCGACAACTCTAATTATTTGGAGAATAACAGCACGGACATGAATTCTACCGCTAGGTAGGCGATTAAATATCATGCTGGTCCAAATGACCGGCACTTTTGCAAACATTGCCGGACCGGGGCTCAATCTACTGGACAATGTCCGCCGGGAAGGCCGTTAATGACTACACTGGTCTGGATTCAAGTGTTGGCCAGTTTAGGAGACTTAGAGCCTTTTCTGTACTGCTCCCTTGGATGCAGCCAGAACAATAGAGTGCCGCTGTCTTTTAAAGAAGTGAATTCAAATGATTGGAATGTATTACTACTTACTGGGTCAGTCATTAGAATCTGCCAAGTCTCTGGCAAATGTTTCTTGCTAGCAGCTGGGAAAACTCCCATTAACTGTTCTAGTGGCTTGAACTGAAAACAGAAATATGTTACCATATTAAATAAACAAAATACAAACAATGTTACTATAATAGCACCATGGAACCGGATCGGGTTGGAATCACACAGGGTAATCTTGCTTTGGTCCAATTTTTGTAACAAACTAAGAGTTTAACATTTCACTAATCATATCATCGGTACTGTAATAGCCTCAGATAGATAAAATTAGGATTACCATAGCAACAGCTTAACTGTATTATCCAAGATACTTTACTCCCAGAGAATAACAATAGAGAGGTAATCACCACAGGCTGGTAACGAAAGATTTGTCCGCTGTGACGGAGCATGCTATTTTTCATAAAAACACTAAGAATGCTTCACGATTTATTTTTTAACTCATGCAATGGATATATCATTTGCGTGTAACATTCACTTCTGTTTGAAGTCCAATAACGCTAGGAGTAAAATCTATTGGAAACGGCGCTAGCGTATCAAACTCTAAAATGTACCATTTCTTTTTTAACTTTTTAATGGCATGATATAGTGACACGATAATATTAACAATACATATGTGTTCACCATAACTCTGAATGTATTAATGAGATATTAATGCATTGGGTCTTTTTAATTTTTTTTATAAAAAATAATATTAATATTTTTTGTCCGCTGTGACGGAGCATTTTCACAGTTCACATTTGCAACTGCTCCGTCACAGCGGACAAAATAATTAAACATTATTTTTTATAAAAGAATTAAAAAGACCAAATACATCAATCATCTCATGTATACCTTCATATTTATGCTGAAACCATGTGTAAATATTATCGTGTCACTATGTCGGGCCATTAGAAAGTTAAACAAGAAATGGTACATTTTGAAGTATGATACTCCGGCGCCATTTTCAATAGCTTTTCTTCCCAGCGTAATTGGACTTCAAACAGAAGTGAAAGTTACCCGCAAATGATATATCCATTGCATGGAGTAAATAATTTTGTATGGTATAACGAAACATATATGTGATCACACAATGTTATAAGCCATATCTAAAATCTGTAATGCATTTACCAGATTTATGTGCATCAGTTCAATTATAATAAGACACAGTTGGGGATACGTTTTTGGCTATAAGCAGTTGTGCGAAACCTCTCTATTATAATAAACATAATCTAATGTAATCTCAGTAAATTATTTTAATCATTTTCACACGCTTTTACATACACTCCCAAAATGCAATCTGATTTTCGACGCCGTTTCGGTGGCAAATTTCGGTGCCGTTTCAGCACCAAATGGACTGACTAGTCCGGTGCCAAATTTTGGTGTGGAAAGGTTTCGGTGCCAGAACGGTGTCGGAACAGTGCCGAATAGCCCAAATTATATTGGCTTTGTACTTCCATTATGAAATTCAACATTGCACATGTAGATTCTTTAGAAAGGTAAAATCAGATTCTTGTACCAAATCAACTTGTAACCAATATTTAAAGAGCAATACTTACTGGAGCAGTTCCCTTTTCAAATGTATTCGGCAGGTCTCCAATATTTACAAAATCTGAGGCAAAGGGAGCGTAATGGTATGGGAAATACCACTTCCAACTTGGACATCCCTGAAAATGAAAGAACAAATGTAAGAGTTAAGCTAATAACATTTGGAGTTAAAATCCTAAACAAGTACTAATAATTCGTTCTTGATCTGAAATCTAACTGAATAATGAATTGGCAAACTAACATTGGTTATGATGTCATTACTTTCATTAGTTTCATTGCACAAATGGGATCAACTTATATTTTCTCAACTTTGTTCACAAATATTGACCCACAAACAGTTAAATCGCAAATCCCGTAAAACATGCACCATATTGGTATTATCCTTGCAGAAATAGGATTAACATTGCTACCCACAAAAAATGACATCATAAATATGGTCAATGTATCCCCTTTCTTCCATTAGTCTTGAATTAAGGTATTTTTGGACAGAAAGAGCCTTGATGCTAGACTACAGATGTATCAAAAGGGCTATGATTTATTGGCGAGGTGTATATATAGGAATCATTACCTGGTAGTAATATGCAAACACCCAACAGAGACCAGTCACATAGGCATTGGCAACATTATGTATATATAGGAATCATTACCTATATAGAAATCATTACCTGATAGTAATATGCAAACACCCAACAGAGACCAGTCACATAGGCATTGGCGACATTATGTATATATAGGAATCATTACCTATATAGAAATCATTACCTGATAGTAATATGCAAACACCCAACAAAGACCAGTAACATAGGCATTGGCGACATTATGTCTATATAGAAATCATTACCTGATAGTAATATGCAAACACCCAACAGAGACCAGTCACATAGGCATTGGCGACATTATGTATATATAGGAATCATTACCTATATAGAAATCATTACCTGATAGTAATATGCAAACACCCAACAAAGACCAGTAACATAGGCATTGGCGACATTATGTCTATATAGAAATCATTACCTGATAGTAATATGCAAACACCCAACAGAGACCAGTCACATAGGCATTGGCGACATTATGTATATATAGGAATCATTACCTATATAGAAATCATTACCTGATAGTAATATGCAAACACCCAACAGAGACCAGTCACATAGGCATTGGCGACATTATGTCTGAAGGCCACGTCATCAGCAGCGACATCAAACTTAGACTCGTAGTAACGTTCCTTCCAGCCATCTTCCCATAATCTACAATCCAGAAATAACCATATGTACATTGCGTTTATTCATACATAGCACATTTTATCATCATAAATAGTTTTTATTGAAAAAATTCATAAAAAAAATTATAGACTGACTTAGAAAGGGTGGCTATGAAAATAACTTGTTAAAAATTAGTGTTTTTGATTTCACGAATTGAAACCTTTTGATGGGGGAAAAACACTAAATAAATCAATATTTTTCAGGCATACTTGACTTCATCTTCTGGTTCTGAATCAGACTCCTCTTTCTCGACTTCATCAATGGATCTCTTCTTGCCCTGCTCTTCTGGAGATTTCTGAAAAGAGAAGTAATAGTCATATACACAGTAAAACCTGTCTAATTCACAAGTCACAGAAACTAGGCCAAAGTGTTTGTATAAGGAGGTTTCACATTTCAAGTTTTCTTATAAGCCAGTCAATGGGTGATAATGAAATTGAGAAATTAAGAAAATGCAAAAAACATTATAGGTTTTACAATGTACTGAGTTATGTGACCTCTAAACCTGACCTTTTTAAAACATTTTTTTTAAGTTTTACACCTTTACATTTACATTTATTGGACCAAATTCTTACACATAAAAATATATAGATGAGTTCTTACCATCATAGCTCTGAGAGCATTTGCAGCTTGTTCATTGGAAGAATCACCCTGAGTGTTGTAGCTCCGCCCCATTCTGCCCTCATAGGCTGTCTGACGGGGATTGGAGATTGGCGCTGGACCATTGCCACGACCCCGACCTCGACCTACTGGCTAGAGATATGGAAGAGAATCTTAATTACAGTTTTCTTATTTTTACTTAAAAATAGATCTTGCAAATCTTCTATGAATATATCAATGTTTTCAGAACTCATTATTGAGTTTTTTCAAACATAAATTTTGGGGTAAAGTATTTATACTTTAGTGTTTCAATGCTAACAACATGGAAATCTACATTTTTAGAGTATTTTGTAACAAGATTTTAGATCTTGCTAACGTAAATTGATTCTAACATTGAAAGAGCAAAAGTACAGATATTACATATATAAACCAAACATAAATAAGCATAACACATAAAACCAAAAACAATATTGGTTAAAAACACTCCAACAAAGTTCACCTAATTCACATTCAGCCTATAAACGTAGTAAATTCAATGATTAAACCAGGTTCTTTAAGTTAACTCATTCTAACATTTCAGGACATAGAGCAAGCCAACAAAGTTCAAGTAAACACAAAAATACCTGAGGAGCATACTGTCCACCAAGCTCATATCTCGGCCTATCACGCTTGGAAAACTTCTTCATTCTTTGTTTCTTTAACTTGTCTCTCCGCCTGAAGCTCAAATCTGTCTCTCGCCTTTTCTTGAATATTTCATCTTCCATTTGTCCTAGTTCAGTCAGCACAAGTTGTACTCTGTCTAAATGAACTTTGCCATGTTCTGTTAAATAGCCCTGAAAGCGAATTAAAGTTCCCTTTTATAAGAGAGTTTGATTTTGATTATTCATAGAATTCTTGATGAAATTACTTATAAAACATACACACTTGTTAAACTAGTGGCTTTAATCATATGGTTATAATTGGACAGGGCTTCCAATTCAAAAAATGGGAAAACAAAACATTGTAAAATTATCTTGACCCACAAAACCTTTGATGAAGTCAAATGTGTGAATGTGGAAATCACTCGAGCAAATAGTCTTGAAGTCAGTCAGTATCAATGATTTTTCATTTAATTCTGTGAAATAACAACTTCTTTTCATGAAGGTTTGTGAAAATGAGCACAGAACACCAGGGTCCTTCAACAGTTTTTACAATTACCAGCAATATAATTTAGTGTACTACTACTACTGTACTAGGATATCAGGTGTTCTTCATTACTGTAAATATCTTACCCCTGTTTTATAGACTGCACTTTTGTATAACCTAATTAGCCTATCTACAGCACCTTCTCTGTAAAGTAATAAAAATTATTCCATGATGGTGATATTTCTAGTGATCTGATTGGTCTATATGACATTAATTAATTTTATGTATTTTAAACTCAAATTATTAAATGACTTATGAGTGAAAAATGCCCAAATCGTTAATCGTTATAAATGTAATTTAAACTGTAAATCGCTTTAAAATACTCAGAACATCTATTCAGGTTAACACATTTGATAAAGACTGCACTATTTACTCTTACAGACAATTTCATAATTTCAGTCCAAATAAGGTCTTAATGATCAAAAATGAAGCTTTTCAGAAGCGTGAATGTAAAGTAAATGTAAAAGCTACTTAAGGCATCTCCTGATTTGATAAAGGCTTGGTCAAAAATTATCTCATTTGTAGAGGGGCTCTTGCAAAGAGTCTTTTTAAGAGTGAGTGTCTTACCGTATAGATAATGAGGGTAGATGAGGCAAGAAATCATTGCCAACAAAGAAACACATGAATACCCAGTCATCAATGGCTCTCTGAAATATAAATAAATTAACAAATGGTTAAACAAATAATTTAAAACATCAACATGATTCTTATTGGCTCCGCTTTTGAAATTACCCACAAATCCATCTGCACATTTGTCCATTCAACATCAATTTTTGGAAAAATGAAAACTGCCACTTTTCAGAGCAAAAGTAATTATCCATTTAATGGCCCATAATGGCAATTTACACTGTTGTCTCATTTTGGAAAATTGGCATTTTTGTCAATATTTTCACAATGTCAGCCCAACCACTGCTTTGTATTCTCCGAAACTAAAAAACGATCTTGTTTCTAGTCACAATAATTTTTGACCAGAAATGGGAGCTATCATTTAACAGTCCTGTATCATTTAAATTGATGCAGAATCTAACAAACACTTTTTATAGGTATAGTGTATCACAGAATATTTCATACATACCTCTATATCTTGTGTAAATGGTAGGTTTGTCATTTTTAGTTCTCTTTCCAACTGCTCGCGTAAAATATTTAGACGCAGGAATATGAATGGGGTCTCTTCTCCAATATGTTTCGTCAATTCATCATGCTGGAAATATTTTTGAAATGTTTAGTTTTTAAACAGTTACTGAATATACACTGTATATTAACATTTGCTGTCATGTGAATATGATATTATTTTAGTAGAAATCTCTAATATCATTGAACAACTCTTTTTATGCATATTTACATCTATTTCATTTTTTTCACATGTGAACACAATCTTTATCATTTTTTGAACACCCCTCGTATACATACATATTTTTGTATACATTTTTTCATGAGTTCTTTGAAACTCGTAAGTTCTCTTTTATGAACACTTTTATTATGAATACACATTTCTTTCACTTTTTCTTATGTGTCTTTTTGTGAACACATCTCTTAGTAAACACCTTTCATGTAACATTTTCCCAAATGAACACCTCTCTCAGTGAATATCTCTCTCAAGTGAACACCTCTCTCAGTGAACACATCTCTTATGCAGTGGACATGGACACACTATATTTTATCACATTATATTCTACCCAGAATATTCATGTACTAATTTCTTTTAATAACCCTTTCATATTTTGCAACACCAAAAAACAGATTTATGATGCCATAGGTAACATAACTAGGTTTCCATGCAGAATTGACATCAACTCATGGTTATCTTATAGAGCCTCTTTAATGTTGCAAAAGGTGTCAAAGTTTATTGGAAAGGTAAACTGAACAATTTGAGGGAAACTGATGCAAGAAATAAAAAAAAACAGGTAGGAAACTGATGCAAGAAATAATAAAAAAACAGGTAGGAAACTGATGCAAGAAATAATAAAAAACAGGGAGGAAACTGATGTAAGAAATCAAAAAACTTGATGTTTCATCTGAGTCATGAGGATTGTCTAGTCTCTCTTTAGGTGGGCAGAGTATGAAAAATTATCAAAGGTCTAAGTAAGCCTATGTGTAAAAGGTATGGTTGATTTAGCTGGTTATTGATTTGACTCTGCATACCTTAATAGCCTAATAATAAAAATGAGTTTACGATCATAAAGCAGGTGTAATAGAAATTTGTTTGAATGATTTAATTTCCCTTATCAACAACTAGATGTTTTATTACTAATATATTAGGGGTAAATGTAAGGTCAAAGGAAATTATGCATGTAGTCTTGAAATGAGTTTGTTATATTATTCAGCAGTAATAATTTAGTAGTGCATAACCTCTGGATTATCTGGGATGACTCAAATGTCAAATGCCAGATGTCTTGTCAGACAGTAGGATATGCAGGTATATAATATTAAACTAAACAAGCCAGCCTTAGGAAAATGTAATACTTGGAGTTTATTAAATAAATGAAATAATTATTTCCTCAATAAAACAAAAAGGGCTCTATACATGACCTAAAAATCACATTTTCAGAAGAAATAAAATCCCAAAGTTCATAAACAATTTTAAAACCACATAGACAGTGAAGCCTGTAAAGTGGAATACCTTTACAAGTGGGACACTTTTCAGAGTCCCAAGATCAACTGATTGAATGTTAAATAAACCTAGAAGTAGAACACCTCTATAAGGTCTAGAAGACCAATATACTCAATGCTAAATAAACCTATAATAAATGGAACACCTCTCAAGTGGAACACTTAGGGGTACCAAAGATGTTCCACTGAGACTTCCACTTTAACTGTAATTATTTTTGTGGATTCCAAATGTGATACCACTTTGACTAAACTTTGAATATTCAGTCATGAAAAATCAAGAAAATTTCTTCCTGCATTAAGTCTATTTAATATTCTTGAGCAAAAGTAATATTACAGTTAGTAATATTAAATGTTGTAACTTTTATAAGGGTATCTAAATTAAATATAAAATGGTTCATCAAATAGCAATAGATAAGTCAGAAAAAGAACATTTCTGAATAAGTTCATCGGTGACATATGAGAACAGTCTAACCTAAACTAGTGAAAAGAAAGTCTTTAATAAGGAAGTCAACGATGAAATCAACACTGACTAAGTGTGGCAAAAGGGGATACAAGATGAAATGGCTGATCGTGCTCCAGATATGCTACCTTTGCCTTGGGACAACAAAGGCATCGTTGAACTACAGACCCATTATAGGTAAGGTTTTATATCATATCTTATTTATTTATTACTTATTTTTATTATATTTGATTAATTGTTGATCACTATGACTAAACATTAAAGTAAAATATACAAGTTCATTTAAACTTGTAAACAAAAATATGGAAAACAGACATTTATACAGGGTGGGCCAAAAAACACCACTTTTTTTCAAGACACTAAAACATGTAACAAGTCCTTCAACTTGGATTATATTTGATCTAAAAGAGGAGTACAATTGGTTCGCCACCCTCTTTGATGATAGCTTTTAGTCTTAGTTGCCTTGCTGATATAGCAGTATCAGTGAAATGTTGGCTAAGTTTCTTTCAACCTGTCTTAATTGCCAGCTTTAGATTGGGTGCCTTCATACCATCTCCCATACCCTATACCCTATACATCTCCCATACCCTATACTCAATCGGGATTGCATTAGAACTATAAGCTTGGCGATCATCAGGCCTGTCAGTTCATGAACATTTTGCAAATTATACTTTTTTGGCCCACCTATTTGTACATCTATTTGTAATGCAGATATCAAATCTTCAAAATGTTGTTCTTGTATGCATCAGAAATATTAATATTTGAACTCTTATGGCCAGTGTTTAAAATAACATATTTAAAAAAAAATCTATCTGGTATCTTGAAATATTCTTTAGGGGTCCTCTCACAGTCAGTGAATCAAACTGGAGCTTCAAGTAACAAGGGGGAGACATTCATACTTCTGACATATATCCAGTACCTTGAGATGGCAGGGGCACGGGTGGTTCCTATCAAGATAGGAGAATGCAAGGAGTACTATGAAACTCTCTTTAAGTCATTGAATGGGTAAGTAACAATTAACAGACAGGCCCGGAGCCAGAATTTTCCAAGGGGGGTTCACTTTTCCAAAAAATTCTAGGGGGGTTCACTTTGGCAAATTTGGCCAAAAATCACTCAAAAAATAGTCAGAATGGAACCCCCCTGGCTACGGGCCTGACAGAACAAAAGTTTACACCACAGGTCAATTCTGAGAACTTTGCATACAAATTCATCATGATTCGGAACTAAAAAATTGAGGCCAACAAAAATTTAGAACCTAAAATCTGTTTCTCCAGTAAATTGGGCAATTTGGTAACAAACTGGTATTACTCAGCGTTATTTTTTAATCTTGGGCCTATCTTTAAGAAATTGGGCCCAAATTTTCAGATTTCAGACCAACCCAAAAAAAACGGAAGCATTCTTAGATACAAACATTTACGTCCATTAAATATTGGTGTAACCATGTTATTGAAATGCACTGGACCTGAGCTTTTTTGATTCTAGGGTGTTGTTTCCTGGAGGGAATGTCAGCTTGATAAAGTCAGGATACGCCTGTGAAGGGAAACTTTTTTATGAACTTGCCATTGAGGTGCGTATCTTAATATACAAAAAGCCTATTACAAAAATAGTACTACTGTACTTTAAAGTTTATGACGGTCTAATTTATAAAAAATGAATTGTATGATTAATTATCAAGATGGTGATATTGCAAAATTACAAAAAGTTCAAAAGGATATTGGAAGACGAATTCAATCATTGTCAAAACCTGCTCGTAATCCTCTATAACATGGAGTTGGCTGAATATTGACCTTTACATAGATTTTCTGCACCAGTTTCAATATTCTTTACATACTAATGAACCCTAGGGGAATATTTTCACACGGTACCAACTTAGACCGTTAATTTGAATTTTAGACCTACCAGGTGTTTGAAAATCAAGGATTGTAAATCTCATACTGCACCGTTTTTCTTCAAACTTGTTCCATTCAAAGGACAACAAAATTGCCTTTTTGTTTATGCATTGCTTTATTGTACCCAGACCCTCGTTTTAGCCGCGATTGGGTCCCCAGCTGTGAGTAACACTTCTCACAGCTGGGGACCCAAACGCCGCTAAAATGAGGGACTCTGTACAACAGTATAATGTACCAACAGAAAGGCATTTTTGTTAGTCTTTGAATGGAACAAGTTTGAAGAAAAATGGTGCAATGTGAGACTCGTAATCCTTGATTTTCAAATTAACGGTCGTAGTTGGTACCGCATAATTTTGAGTAGTGTTTGATTGGACATTTACAGGTATCTCAAGTGTTTTAGACTTGGTAAAAATCCTAATCTTTATACACCCTATCCAAATTTGAGAGGGGGTCAAAGAAGGCTTGATATGACCCCACATTTTATTTTGAACTCACTAATATCACACCAATAGGATTGGAATTTAATAGAAAATCATTTCCAATCAAGCATTTTAACTTTCTAAAGTAAATAGAAGTTGGGTTTCTAAGTCACATGTACATATTTTCAAGGCCAATAAGAGGGGTGACTATTTCCCTATCTGGGGCACATGCCAAGGCTTTGAACTACTATCAACCCTGACCCCTGGTAGAGATGTCCTGATACCTTGTCATGCCTGGAACATCAAGTCTGCACTCAATATGTCAAAGGGTAAGGCCTTTATAAATTACATTTTCGTTTTGTATTTTTGGCTAGTGGGTCATTCAAAACATCTATGGTTGAACATTTTTTTCATTATGACGTGACATTTTGGAATTTTAGGTTAAAAGAAATATGTCTGATAATTTTGTTTCAGCAAAAAATCCTGATAAACAAAAAAAGTAAGTTGTAGGGGGTGTTCCACTTATAAACATTTACGAACAAAAAGATGTACAAAAAACTGTTACACTTGCAAAACATTTCAGATTTTCGAGATAGCAGGTTGTATAGAAATATAGATGACGCCACTCTCAAATTTCTGACCAAAGAGGAAACAACTCCTAATTTCCACAACTGGTGCCTGACACCCGAGGTATTCTTCTTAAATTTTATGATATCATAAATCAGTATTGTGTATTCTTGTAATTTATAAAGTTCCTACAACTTTATAATAGAATTCCCTGGCATTTTCAAACCATGAAATCACAAAATTTCCAACTTTGAAAATGTAGGAGCTGTGACCAATGGTGAAAATTTCAAGAACAGACACCCATAATGTACATGTATATGAGTGTTAGATAAGACAAATGGCAGTTTTTCATTTCGGAATGTTGATGGATCGACTAATGGAATGGACTTAAGCAGTAACCATGACAACATGTCATTGCTTCTTCACAGTGACATTCTGAACATGACCACAGACAAAATCTTGAAAAATTCTGAGTGGAATAAATTGACCATATATGATAATATTCTTATAGAATTTCAACCTGACTCCTGCTCTGAAGTCCTTCTATAGAGTGATATCCACAAACAAGGACCGCAAGGGAAAGGAGTACATTTCTACAATGGAAGGTTAGTTCTATAAATTAGAGTTTTCTTTGTAATATAAGCACTTAGCCACCAAATGGCATATTGCTGACAACGAAATGTTGAGAGGTCAAGCATGTTTACTATCTATTAAGACTGTCGTGAAATGTTCTGTGCCTTGACTTATCGCAAGATCCCAACACCCACTGAATGAAATCCTTTGAATTTGAAGCAACTTTTTTTTATTTCTCAGACACTTTTATTCATAAGTTCCATTTAAGCTTATATAAAACACCTATTGCTATATATAATTGATTTGTAGCCTACAATTATCCATTCTACGGAACACAGTGGCACCCCGAGAAGAACAACTTTGCTTGGACGCCATCTTTTAATGTTGATCACTCAATAGATGGAGTAAAAGTGGGCCAATATATGGCAAACTTCTTCGTAAATGAAGGTACAATATTTCTTAGATGACTATTAACGTGGTCCTGCTATATAAGTTTAAAAGGCTGATTTCTTATTCTACCCTCTACCTACCTTAGTAGATGGAAATGCAATATCATTAAATAAATAAATTATCATAGAAGTGTACATTTATTTAATTTTCAACATAATATTGAATTATAAAAAATAACTCATTTGGTAGAATGCTCTCTTAGCATATACAATAAATATACAGGAAAAGGTCAAGGAGACATAAGAATTCATAATTCTGCAAAATATTTTTTGTAGCGAGAAAAAGCCAGCACAAATTCCTGAATGTCACCAGGGAGCAAGATGCGTTTATCTACAACTATAGACCAGAATATGTCAAAGACGGCCAATACAACATCAGGTATGTTTTTCCTCTTTTTGGCTTTCCTTTATTTTAAATCAGATTTTCAGTTATTGTATAAATATTATTCTGTTAATGAGCTTAATTAAAAGTAAATATCACAATGCATTCTGATACACATAGCATCTCTCCACTGAATCATCACAAGGACAGAGATGGAGAAAGTGTGGTTTACCATTATGGTCACACTCTTACTGGAATTTATTTTGCTTTGATTACTATGTTCTGTTTCAGGTATATCTTTGATAAAGGCGCACCTACACCAGAATGTTCAGTTGATGGCAAGCAGAAACCAGCCATCGCATGTGACGAGACAATGTTTGCGCGATTCTACCACCAGAAAGACTTGATCTACTAGTGTCATTGATGCATGCAATTTCGAAACTTTACAATAGGACTCAGTTCTTTCATATACATTACAATTAACATTTTGAAGATATTATATATATCGAAAGTATATAAACAAACCAAGTACAGTGATCTTACAACATAAAAGTAAACTTATAATGCAGCTAGTTGAAATCTATATTTTGACATTTTTCAGTCACAAAAGACGAACTTAGAAAACTGCTGTATTGTAATAATAAATAATTATGTTCTAACCTCTCCTTCTTTAGACTTTGCTTTTCCTGTACAATCCTTTAAGTCATGTCCCATCTGCCCGCACATTTCACATGGTTTAGGTTGGTTGGGCTTGAACTCTTCTCTGATGATAGTGAACCAAGGTTCATGTGTTGCAAGGCCCAACATAATCAAGTCAGCTGAAAAAGTCAATCAAATGCTTTATATATGTACATGTAACGCATGCCTCATCTGACCACACATTTCACATGGTTATGGTTGGTTAGATCCAACATCGTCTCTTCTTTTAGCCTTCCTGAACAGCAAAATGTAATATTAAGTTTGAGAGTATGGGAATTTTACTATGAACCCTGCAAAGGCTGTGAGTACAGATTTAACCAATGTTATCAACAGGGATATGTAAACAAGTAAATCATAGTTCAAGGGCTCACACCAAAGGATTTTGAAACCAAAAAACAAAAGTCTAAAGAAGACAATGAGTTATAAGATCTCTAGCTTAGGAGGACACATACTGTACAATGCTTGTAAGATTGGCAAGAATAGGCACAATGAGACGATTACATACCATCGGCTCCACAGAGGCAATGGTGGGTATTAGGTTCATGGTCAGGCTGAGCACGTTGACGCCTGATGTAGTCCATAATCTTGTGTTCACCCTCTCCTGGGACATTCGCATCGGACAAAACAACCTGAAAAACAAGTATCTATTTATAAAACCAGCATCCAATGATTAGGTATACATGCAACATTTTTCAGAATAAAAGTTGACAAAAAATCAATGCTTTCAAGCAGCAGAAACATGCTGATATTCTTAACCTCTCCCACCTAAAATGACATTAACTCTATGTTTTTTATGAATAACCTTTCATTAACAATCATCACTATATTGAACTCAAAAGAGCATTTTGAAATAAAGATATATATTTCAAATATGGAAAATGTTTTCTTCTCTTACCATGATATCTTTCCATCCAGGATCATTGTTGAGTCTGTCGTGTACGTAATATCTTAGGCAGTCAGCCAACTTGAACATAAATGGTGTGCCCTGAAAAACATGAACTTGTGAAATTGAGTCTGTCATCTGACATGTACACTTTCCATCGAGGGTCATTGTTGAGTCTGTCGTGTACGTAATATCTTAGGCAGTCAGCCAATTTGAACATAAATGGCGTACCCTGAAAAACGTGAACTTAATTAATAGTTATCTTGCTTTCTACATGACAAAATTTCAAAAAGTAAACCTTGCACACCTGCAAGTTCATCAGTACATTATAAACAACCATAATATAGCGATTTCAACAGAATTTCTAAAAAAACATGTTAACTAATTAACAAGACAGAGTTTTGCTATAATGAAACCAAGAATGAATTATTTCTTTGTCAAGCAGAGTGATAAAATCATACTGCACAACTGTCTGAAGCCTAAAAACCAAAAGACAATAGTCAAAAGAATTTAATTTTGGGGTAAACATTGCAGTTCCACCACCCTAAGCTTGTTCTTCATACATGCATATTGTCCAATTATGGTTTACAAAAAGTGGGAGTTAACATCAGAAGACATTTACGGGTCTTGGCAGTTTTGCACCATTCATTCATATAGACTTGAGAAGCTACAGGGTGTGTTAGAAATGAATTGGGATGGCAGCAAATCAGCGTTAAATTCAACTTACGGGCGTGATACAATTGCTGTCAAAGTGTTCTGAGGCAGGTTTCTGTGGTAGAACCTCACCCCCCTTTGACAAGATCTCCTCCCTAATTCTGGTCATATCCCTTGCTTTCTCACTGAAATACAAATACAGTATATAAACATTATATAAATTCAGTAGGGACCATCTCATAATATTGCATAATTTTACACATAATTGTAAAATTACATCACTTTTGAAGAATTAAAGTATTTCAATTATCAAACACAAACGAAATACAAAATACTTAACAATGCACAAGGAAGCTTGTACTAGAAACAATTTTCAAGGGAAAATGAAATTTGAGTGCAATCAACTAGAAATTCAATTGTAAACGACATCACGTTTGGGCAAATAAAAGTATTTCAATGTTAAGATAGTCATTTTAGGATAATCACATGGGGACCTCTAGCAGACAATCAATATATGAAGAAATCAAGTACTGTTGATCAACTTTTTAGTTATAACTACAACTGAGTGACGTGTCTTAAACTTACGCTGATTCCTTTGAAGCTCTAAATCTTCTTGATCTTTGCTGGTTCATCTTAGCCCTTGGGGCCTAAAATATAACAAACAAGACATTTATATGCAAAATGTCACCACCTGATATTTGGTATAGACAACGAATGCTAAAAAAACCCCAGAATGCCAACCATAAAAAAAGTTGGAAACTACAATAATATGTCACCTATTGTGGCGGACATAAAGACAAAACTAACACAGGTAGAACTCAGATGAGCCGTTGGAGCTTGAAACAGAAAACTACACCACCATTATACAATAGCAGTGGTTGGGCTTGATTCAGAATCTGCATGGTGATACTGACATTGAGTCACAGAACTTTGCATATATCAATTCCCAAATACACTGACGTAAATATAAAATTTCAGAATATAAGGATTGCTGCGGTTGACGTAATGGTAAATTTTTTAAAAATTGGCTTATTGATTCAAAGCATATTTAAGATACCTTAAAGAGTACAAAGAGTATATTTTCACCTGCTTAGAACATATATGTCTAAATCAGCTAGTTTAAATGAAGACAAAATAAAGTACTTACCACACCATCTATAGCCATATAGAGAAGTTTACGTGGACGGACAATGGAGAAGATTCTGTCGATGTATTCAAAAATAAGAATCATCATTTCATCCTCATTTTTGGGTGCTGGTCTATAATGATGACAAAATACCACATGTACATATAACATTAGATAAGACTGATTGATTGACTTTAGAAATATCCATATTTTTTATTTTTATTTCTTATTTAAGTTTAATAAGATAATATTCACTGATATATGAAGTAATCTTTTCAAGCATGCTTTCCAAGTTAAATTCTAGGGTAAATTTAAGTGTAAAAATGTGCAAGTAAATTTTTAGAGCATGATAAATAGTTTTGAGAAAGAATTTAGAGTGAAACGAGCTAGCTTTAAGAGCAACAAAAGAATATAGTAAAATTCTAGAAAAGAAATCATTTTCTACTAGATAAGGTTTATAGTTGGCTATTAAGGATTCTTTAATTCCTTGTCTTAGACAATAGGGCTATTCGGATTTGGGACAATAATTTTTTGACTTACTTATCCTCTGGATGACAGCAAGGGTGGATGATGCCATTCATGTCAAGGTAGAGGTTGTCAAACTCAATGTCATTGGGATTAGGCTGACTGGAGTCCACAGGCATCTTCTCCCCATCTCCCAAATCTTTGGGCTACAAATATACAATATGAGGAAAATTTAAGATAATAGTACATTATGTGGTGATAACAAAACAAGGCATTAACATGCAAAATGTCACCACCTGCAATTTGCTACAGACACTAACTGCCAAATGCTGACTGCCTAACACCATCAACAAAAAAGTTGGAGACTATAACAACTTGACACCACTTCTGTAGGTAACATAAATGAGGGTTATGTTATGGAAGATTTTGGATATAGGGTCTATCCTAAGGGAAGTATAGATATCTTATAGAGGGCTCCATGGTCCGAGGTAAGACATCATATAGATGTAACTGATTTATCCCATGACAATTAGTAAGGTTTCACAAATTTTCATCACACGAGGCAAAACATGTCTAGGATGTGAAATCATAAGCCATTTTGCTTAGATCTGCTTAGGCTAGATCTAAATCTGCTACATACGGACTATAGTGATTAGAGAGTTAATACTAAACTTTAGAACATCAGATCATTTGTTGGCTAGAAAACTCTAGAGTTAAATATAGCTCAGACAGACAGGCATTGAAATTGACACAACCTTTCATGTCCGGTATATGACTTGTTACACTTCAGCTTCCAAGAGAAGCCTTGAATCATTACATAATTATATTGGCAACATTAGATGTGGGATTTGCCAATGTGTATATGCAGGGTTAAGATAGGGTGTCATCCATCAGGGGGGGACGTTGTAATGATCCTCCATTACTTCCTGTGAAAGCTATGTGGATTTTGATATAATAGCTTTCCAACGGCACACTTGGACAGCTGAATAATAGTGACCTTTAAAACATGAATAATGAGATCCGCCGCTCACTTTTGGTCCCTAATTGGAACATCAGTATCATCAATCCGTGCAACTATTGGAGCACTGAAATACTTCTTTTTCGATCAAGACTTGTAAATTGTTCATCGAGTAAATGTTTTTTCGACCCATTTCCAATATGGCGGTTTGCTAGGAGCGAGATAAGCAACAAACTAAATTAATTTTGAGAATGAGTTAGGATCAGACAACCTCCAGAGATTTACGAAAAATGTCCGAGCAGAAAACGCCATATTGGAATTTGGCAGAAAAAACATTGACTCGACTAAGAATTACAAGTCTTGATCGAAAAGGAAGTACTTAAGGCGACGCTATATTAAATAAAAAGTACAAAAAATGACTGCCATATTTTTTTGATAAAGACACATGTTTTTAAAATCTGTTTACCTTGTATATGAATTGTGTATCTTGACTAATGAAACATGTCAAAGTTAACATCACACATAAACGCATTTTTCCAAACTATGAATTGGAGGTGCATGGATCCCCAAAGCTAGCATGAAGACTGCCATATTTTTTTGATAAAGACACATGTTTTTAAAATCTGTTTACCTTGTATATGAATTGTGTATCTTGACTAATGAAACATGTCAAAGTTAACATCACACATAAACGCATTTTTCCAAACTATGAATTGGAGGTGCATGGATCCCCAAAGCTAGCATGAAGAGTGCGAAGTGAGGCTAATTTTTGAAAGTTTCAAGGAGTAGCCTTGCAACAGTCACACATTTGCAAGAGTCTAAAATTTCCACAAATCATCTTACTTTACCAAGGAACAACGAAGGAGCACGAAAATGTGTACTTCTTGCATTGTTAGAGTATAATAAAGCTCAAACCATTGTGAATTCTAAATATTTCATGTCCACCATTTTGTTTCCTGGAACTATTTTTTAGTCCAGAGTTATCTTCATTCATGTTTCCATTGTTTATCATTCATAAAGCCTCTATCATGTATCTATCATGATAATTACACTGTAATAGATAAAACATACAAGTGATAATCCATGCCACTTGGTGTAGTCACAAAACTTGCATGAGGATTAATCAGGAAGTCTAGAAGTAGTTCCGGCAAACAAAATGTGGACATGAAATATTTGGAATTTACAATGGTTTGAGGTTTATTATACTCTAACAATGCAAGAAGTGCACATTTTCATGCTCCTTCGTTGTTCCTGAGAAAGGTAAGATGATTTGTGGAAATTTGACTCTTGCAAATGTGTGACTGTTGCAAGGCTACTCCTTGAAACTTTCAAAAATTACCCTCACTTCGCACTCTTCATGCTAGCTTTGGGGATCCATGCACCTCCAATTCATAGTTTGGAAAAATGCGTTTATGTGTGATGTTAACTTTGACATGCTCATTAGTCAAGATACACAATTCATATACAAGGTAAACAGATTTTAAAAACATGTGTCTTTATCAAAAAAATATGGCAGTCATTTTTTGTACTTATTATTTGATATAGTGTCGCCTTAAGCGCTCCAATACTTGAAGGATGATAATGATGTTGACATAGTAAGAGAACAAAAGTAAGCCGCTGATCAACTTAATTCGTGTTTCCAATATCACTATTCCCATTTCTCCGTTGGAGAGCAATAAGTTTCAAAATCTAACATGGCTCTCGAAGTGAGTAAACCCTCCATAGCTAATTGCTACTACAACCTAGCTAGCCCTGCTATTGGCTCGAGTGGTAGAGCATAAAACTTTGGAGCTGAAGATCCTGATTTTAATTCCTGCACCCGGGTTTCTGTATGGGGAATTGGATTTAGCACACATAAACAAACAAACACTTCCTTTCATATCAAGTATCTGGCTTGTTACCCTATAGCTCCCGAAGGCACCCTTACAAAACAATCAAATTTCTATATTTTTCAACTAACCAATCACTAACGTTTGCCAGTTCAAGAACTTTTGAAGTTATCTACAAATACCGGCACCTTTTTTGATAAAAAAATATTTAGAAAATAAGCAATACTAATATGCTTGAAAAACAACTTTAACCAGAGAATTAGATTATTTCAAGTATAACATACCTTCTCCTCAACACAATGAACGACGATTGATGCATACTTTTTACTCAGCCATCTAAAAAAGGCTGGAACTCCCATAGCAAAGAAGTGAAACAAAAAATCAAAACAAAAGTTTCGATCCAATATGGCGCACGTGCAACTTCCGGTAAAATATGTGGGTGATAATAAACTGGCGATCTATCATTTTATGTTCTCTGAAAGATAACAAAAGTGCGAAATCACCTTGGTTTTATCAATCTTCTTGTAAGTATATTTTATGAAGTTTTAATTTTATCAAACAATCTGTTTCAATGTTTAAATCCTTTCTGATGTTTGGCGACGTAATTAGAGTTCATTTCCTGTAAAATGGCGGAAGTAATCTTTCAAAATCTTTGTAGCTCTGCGAAAATAGAGCGAGATCGTGGTATTAACGGTCTACAAACGTATCTGAATGATTGCACAGACTCCTCTGTAACTGAAGTTGAGAACAGACTACTTGAAATGGTGTCAGACATAAGTTTACCTTGGGAAACAAAGCATGGAGGACTAATGGGTTCAAAATGTTTGCTTGATCATTCAAGGAATTTATTTCATTCAGATTTTTCTGGTGTCATTCAAGACCATGCATTGGAACTACTGGCCGATGAAGAATTTAGAGTCAGAATTGCTGCAGGTATGTTTAACACCACTATATTTACAGAATTAGGCATATTTCATGATTCTAATATACATTTATATTTTTTAATCAGATCATTTCATTGAATTTTCATGAACCTGTCAATAACCATAATGTTTCGTGGTACACAGGTGAGGTCATGGGGGCACTCTGTAAAAAAGGAGGTCCAGATGTCTATGCAGAGAACCGTGATGCCATCCTGGAGGGAATTCAAACGAACCTAGAGCGTCAACCTCTAACAGAGGTGCTACAACAAGAGGATGCTGAGAAACTCTACGAGAAGTTATCATCGTCCCCAAGATCTTCAGGAGCTGTGTCGCCACGTATGTTCAATTCTGGGTCACCGTTTGGATCTAGGGTAAGATTTTAAGGCTTTTCGTAAATATTTTGATAAAAATAGGCACATGAAGATTTATTTTGAATGGCTTGCTTGTCCACCTATGTTGGAACTTGGGACATCATAATTATACCCCATTTCAGTTCATTTTCAGTAAATTTTGAAAATTCCGTTTCATGTCAGCATCTGTAACAAATGTAAGGTGGTGACATTTTGCATGTTAATGCCTTGTTTATTATTTACTTCAGAGAGGCAGTGCAAATGCCAGTCAGATATTCCATGATACAGCTGGTTGGAAGAACTTAGAAACATGGATGAAGTAAGTAGAGATGTCATAGTTTCCTGATATTTGATTGTATTTCAGTCAAGATGGTTCACTTCAGGACACAGGATGGAAAGAGTTAATATCAGGACATTATCAAGTCATAAATTCCTTTAGGAATAAAGACCGAGATTTTATGATTTATGGCATGATATATGACTGAAAATTTATTATGTTCATTGTTAAAAGACCGAAATCGCATTGCATAAAGCATAAAATCGAGGTCTTTTTTACGATTTTAATATGATAAACAGTCAAGAAACAAAATTATTTGCATTTATGAATTTAAGCGGTCATACATACTCCAATATAGACCAATAAATCAATTGTTGTAGTTATTGTGACGTCACGTATCATATTAGAATTACTGTACGCCCGGTATTATTCGCGTGTGATTTAGTTTCGTGCTTTTCGCGAGGGTGTTAAAATCGCGAAAAATTATCGTCGCAAAATTGCCAATTAAATCCCCGGGAATTTGTTTTTACCTGGGGCTCTGATGCATTTCGTTTTGTATAAAACGTTTCGTCTAGTGTTATTGGGCGATAATTGGATGATTTCCACCAACATGTCTATATTACGTTGGCTAGTCAGGCCAACTACTACCAACAATGCCAGGTCTCATTTGATTTTCGTGGCCAATTGATGACGTTTCCCTCTGTCTGAGTAAATTATTTCAGTGGCTTGTTAAATATACTAGTAGTGCATTATGGGTAGGGACTGCTGTGAAATGATGAACGTAAATTACATCTACTAGTGTCTAAGTTCCAATTACTAGTACAAGTAAGTGAAATTCACGAAATTAAATAGCTGCGAAATCGTGTTTTCGCAAAATTCGCGAAATTAAATCTCGCGAATAATACCAGGCGTACAGTACCTATAAATGCATAAAAATGTGTATAAATGGCAAGAAACATGTCAAATTTGTTCTAAAAAAATCCAAAATATTTTTGCTTAACTTGTACCTCAGCTGCACTTCTTAGCAATGAAAAGTGTTATTCTTATAATCACATATAGAGGCTGCACTCATATTGATCCACAAATAATTTTCAGGTGTTTCCAATGTGTCGTTGAGGGATGTGGACCCCTGTTTAACCCATATATTGACCAGACTCTCTTAGACCTGATTTTTGCTGCCCTCACACACACCAATAGATTTGTAAGGGAGACTGGATATTATGTATGTGCCACTTTGGTAGGCTGTGGTTTGTCCCAAGGTATGTACCATTCTGGTATGCTGCATTTTATCTATATTTAGGATGTACCAAATAATATACACTATTAATGTTGTATATTCAGTCATGTTTGTCATTCTATCAAAAGTAGGTACAAAAGCATCTTAAAATGAGAATAAAATGATAACATTTAACATGGACCAGGGGTCTGGTTTTTGAACTGTCGTAACTTATGATTTAAGGTCGCAAGTCATTGTGCATCAAAAAGTATACAATGTTTTCTCAGAATTGTAAGCTACAATCGTACCAAAAACAAACCCGGGTCCCTAATTGACAAACAAATTTGAAATTGCAGATGGGGAAGTGGCTGTACCTCTGGATGAAGGGAATACAATACTGTCATATGGGCATCAGTTTGCAGAACATCTGGGAAATGGCCTAGCAGATAATTGGAGCCAGGTATGGAAACAAACGTATTAAATGGGTACAAATTTATTTAATGGGTACAAACTTATAAAATGGGTACAAACTTATTTAATGGGGTCAAGCTTATTTAATGGGTACAAACTTATTTAATGGGTACACACTTATTTAATGGGTACTCATTACCTGACCTTATGATACTATTATCACACTTATATGGACCTATATTTATTTATGAATTCAGCGTGGTCTACTTGCAGATCCTAAATGCTCAATCAAATTTTGAGGTTTGGTTAGTACCAAATATTGTGAGAAATAGAATTTCAGTCATCAATTTTTATGTATTAAATTTTCACCTTGATTATTGGGTATGAAGGCAAGCAAACTGTAGCAGTTTAGATATCAAATGGGATGTTGGAAGATGATGTTGATGATGATAAATCATACTTCTTTTAGTTAGATAGAACCATTTGTTAACAAGTAATATGGACTTGGTGAATGATTTCTTAAATGACAGGTCAACAGGTGACTTCAAGATTTTCTCAAAGAGGACAAAGAATATTTAGTTGGATTAAATGACTAAAATACCACATTTTGTATTTATTGGATATTATTGCCAATTCTAGGTGCGTCTTGCTGCTTCAGTGGCGACTCGTAAATTCTGCCAGAGTCTCGGGAATGATCAGATAAGATCTGCCTTCTACCCCATTCTCATTCCAAGAATGTGCCTCAACAGGTAAGCTACTGACAAGCCTGATCTCCTTGCCATCTCTTGTTTCCAACATTCAAGGTAGGCACTTAGGCTCCTGTAAGTCAGAATTCTTGAAATCTGTTGATAATCTCATCGAATGATTCATACCTTTAATCATATTTGGAAAATTGCAGAGGGTGTATTTTGTACATAGCTTTTCTTATTCTCAGATACTATGTTGCCAAGGGTGTATTTTACATAGCTTTTCTTATTCTCAGGTACTTTGTTGCTGAGGGTGTATTTTGCACTATAGCTTTTTTTATTATTCTCAGGCACTATGTTTCTGAGGGTGTATTTTGTACTATAGCTTTTTTACTATTATCAGGTCAACTATGTAATGGGTGTCTCTACATAGCTTTTCTTATTTTCAAGTACTATATTGCAGAGGGTATATTTTGTACAGGTACCATGTTGCAGAGGGTGTATTGCTATATTTTTTACATAGTTTTTCTGATTCTCAGGTACTATGTTGCGGAGGGTGTGAGGATTTACTCCCAAGACACATGGAAGAAGGTGGCAGGAATGGGAGGAGCTAAACTTGTCGAGACTTATATCACAGAAACAGTAAGTCATAACTATAAAAGAAAAATTTTAATTGCTAAAATTTCCTCAATTCTTTCTGAATCACCATTTTATAGAAAGCAATTAAGAAAATATTTTTCTTTGCTGTGATATCAATTTCGCATCAAATGTTAAATTTTTGATAACATGGAAACCTATTTTGAGGAGCTTATAAAAAACCAATCCACAAACCTCTTGTTTTTCTTACATACATCTATGATAAATACCTTTCAAGTTTGATTAGTGGTAGATTTTTTGGGAGATGAAATATCAAGGACAGTTTGTGTCTTTGTTGTGCATTGTGTAACAAAATATGATATTTTCTTCAGGTCGAGTTCTACATATCCCAAACTGAGGCTGATAACCATGCTGTTCGAGAAGCTGCTTGCGCGTGTATCGCAGAATTGGGCACGAAAATAGATAAAGATGTTGTTCGTCCATTTGTTCCTGGTCTACTGGATGCCTTATTGGTCTGCTTTAAAGATGACAGTTGGCCTGTAAGGGATGGTAAGTTTTCCCACAATGCATTACTGGTGTGGAATCCCAGAATGCATTTGTAGGTCTCAGTTTTTATGTAACCAACAAAAAGTAGTGACATATTGTCATAGCAACAATTATTCTATGAAGGTGACTGTAACAATTTGTCACACTTTTTAAAGATTTGTGATGATTTAAGGTAGACTTGGTCAGTAGAGATTGGAAAACATGGTATTGAGAGCATTTAAGTGATATGAATATTTTAGTAATATTTAGTAGTAGTAATATTAGTATATGTATACAATACATATATAAATGTATAATGTATAATTTATGTAATTCTTTATAATTTCAGCTTCATGTATTGCTTGCGGAAACTTTTTGAGGTGTTTTGCTGAAGAGTCTAAGGGGTCTCTGGATGCTTTGTTTCCATTATTCTTTGAGAATCTACAGGACAATATTCCATCAGTTCGCCAGGGGGCTGCAAATGCCCTCGCCAATGTCATACTTGCGTATGGTAAGTTCTGTTCAGAAATATCAGTGCTTTACCTTACTTTTGCACAATTGTAAACTCTTGGTTTTGTTGCAAGTCATTCATATCATTTATTCATTCAATCATTCATTTTTCTACGAATCATTAGTTATGTTTTTTCCAAAAATTGACCCAAACACAAAATATTCTCAAAATATTGTGAATTCTGAAATCTCTTTGACAATATTGCCATAGTTACAAGAATAAACATAAAACATGATTAAACAGGTTTCTGACAAAATTGTTGTATTTTTGAAGGAGATGAAGTTATACCAATGATTGTTGCCAAGATCAAAGAGGGATTAGCAGGGATTGCTAAGCAACCAGAGAATGCTGAAAAGTACAGTGGCCTGGAGAAAGGGCCTGCAACTTATGGCGTCGTGAAACGAGCACGTGATAATGATATGGATACTCACTCAAATCAACCAGTAAGTCTATCCAAATTGACGTGAAAATGTCAGAGCTATATCTGCTAAAAATAGGGACATGTAGATTTTGCTTTTTCAGAAAACTATAATTGCTTCATTTATGAAATAAAATTTGTTGTCTTACCAACAATTATATTTCTAAAATTGTAACTTTTTCTAGATGTATTCCTGTGGATCCCTAGCTCCTAAGATGGGCAGAGGAGGAGGCTGCATGGACCATCAATTTAAGAGGCCATCAGAACCATGGGAAACAGCTGATGGGTAAGAAAACCTCCTTCATTTACTTCATTCATATTTAGAGCTTACATTATTCTTTGTGCTTAAATGAAAGTCTGCTGCACTCATGTAAAGAAACCAAATGGACTCATAGAAAATCGTCCATCCACTGTACTCACTCATTCATGTCATTACATGTTATTGTCTTTTTCCAATTGCCAATAAGAAAACTAATTTTGTTTTCATTGTGTTCATAAATTTCTTCATTTTCCATACCATTGGTTTGTCCAATGTCCATGTAAAAAGAATTTTCTCCAACTTTTTAAGTTGTGTCCACCTAGTCGCTGAGATGGCTCCACTTAAGGACTTGGCATCACGTGTCTCGGAACTACTCCCTGACGTGGCCCATGCTGCCACCTATCATCAATATGCACAACACGTCAACTTCTTAGAAACCATTTGTAAACAGGTATGTCTGAGTGAAATTATTTTTTCCTTCTGATATCCATTTATTTTGGGATCATTGTAAAATATCAGCATGTCAATTTGATAAAATAATGCCATATAGTAGTATGGGGGTTAGTTGGAACCAACATTTAAAGTCACTGTTACCAACCATTCACATCTTCCAACCCCAAATAAAATTTACTGAACTTTTTTGATGAGATCCGAGAAAACACCAAACACTGTCCTAGTGTATGGCCACTGGTCATTCTCTGGTTACTTTTGATTCACACCAGTTGATTTTTTCACTAGTTATTGGAAAATAACAAATAATCCGTGGTGCCATTTTGACCAGCCGCTCTCAGATCCTTATTAGGGCATACTCTGACACTTTCCACAAGAATTGAAGACTCTAACTATATGTCAGCACTTGTGTTGGATGGTAACAAACAAAATCTATTGATTCTTTATTGTCAAATATTATTATAATGTGTATATACAGTAATATAAAAAAGTCATACTTTTCTTTTGTTTTAGCTGCCAAACATTGCAAGAGGGCTTGGGAAACGACCCTTCAAAGCACACATAGAGTTGTTTTTGGAACCAATATTTTATAGTATTGTAAGTGACATTTTTATTAATTGAGTGGCGCTGAACCACAACCTGATGATTTTATCTCTCAACAATATAAAAGCTATCACATTGGGCTATTCATGCTATTACTGCCTTAATGATTTTCTGCTTTTAAACTCTTCTTTGCAGATACAGTATGTGGCCCTTCACATCAGGCATAATGCATTTCAAAAAGAAAAATGAAAATGAATTTTCTCAAAAATTGCAAAAATGCCAGAACAGTATAACAAATACAGTACAATATAATAGATTTTATAATATATTTAACTGTTTTGTTCATTTTCAGAGCTGTGACAATGCTCTAACCTCCAGTGCTGCAGTGAACTGCCTCAGTCAACTAAGTGCATACATTGGTCCTGGGATAATGCGTGGTAGAGTTGAACAATATAATCCAAGGTAAGGTTCTAAGTGCATACATTGGTCCTGGGATAATGCGTGGTAGAGTTGAACAATATAATCCAAGGTAAGGTTCTAAGTGCATACATTGGTCCTGGGATAATGCGTGGTAGAGTTGAACAATATAATCCAAGGTAAGGTTCTAAGTGCATACATTGGTCCTGGGATAATGCGTGGTAGAGTTGAACAATATAATCCAAGGTAAGGTTCTAAGTGCATACATTGGTCCAGGGATAATGCGTGGTAGAGTTGAACAATATAATCCAAGGTAAGGTTCTAAGTGCATACATTGGTCCTGGGATAATGCGTGGTAGAGTTGAACAATATAATCCAAGGTAAGGTTCTAAGTGCATACATTGGTCCTGGGATAATGCGTGGTAGAGTTGAACAATATAATCCAAGGTAAGGTTCTAAGTGCATACATTGGTCCTGGGATAATGCGTGGTAGAGTTGAACAATATAATCCAAGGTAAGGTTCTAAGTGCATACATTGGTCCTGGGATAATGCGTGGTAGAGTTGAACAATATAACCAAAGGTAAGGTTCTAAGTGCATACATTGGTCCTGGGATAATGCGTGGTAGAGTTGAACAATATAATCCAAGGTAAGGTTCTAAGTGCATACATTGGTCCTGGGATAATGCGTGGTAGAGTTGAACAATATAACCAAAGGTAAGGTTCTAAGTGCATACATTGGTCCTGGGATAATGCGTGGTAGAGTTGAACAATATAATCCAAGGTAAGGTTCTGAAAGTATATTTGCTTTAATCCGTTGAATATCACTTATGCATACCTCATGTCACCACCATAAGTGGTGACATATTGCTAGTCTCCGACTTTATTTGTGGATGGCAGTTGGCATTTGGCATCTGTAGCAAATGACAGGTGGTGACATTATGCATGTTAATGCCTTGTTGAAATGAATGACCTGCAACTTTTTCTAAAAATAATTATTTGGGTTATATAAAGAAGCAAAGTGGCAGTAAAGGCCAGAATGTAAATGTTGCTAGCAATCTTTAAAAAAAAATACTGCATCATGGAAAAATATGAAAATAGATTTTTTTATAAAAAAATATTTTCATTGATCATTAAATCCATAAAAGATAAATAAAACCAGAATTATCTTGACTTTGGTAGATATGAATCAATGATAGAGTTAAAGCATTTGCAAATATATATTCTTTTATGTTTCAGATATCTTGAACAACTTGACAGTCTCAACATTGCACCCATGCCCATGATGCATTGAATGTGTCCCTTTAACTATGATGCACTCAATGTGTCCCTTTAAATTTGTAACTAAGCTTCAACAAAATTAAATCCAGTGATAATCACACAATGGAATACCAGTATCTACACCTTGCTGTCATTAGCTGGCTCACTCACAGTGTAATTGGAGTGTTGAAAATGGATACTACCCAGGCCCGTAGCAGTTTTCACCATTTTGAGCGATTTTGAGTGATTTTAGCCATATTTGTGTCAAAATTGTCAAATGTGAACCCCCCCTGGAAATCTTTGAAAACTGAACCCCCCTTGGCAAATCCTGGCTACGGACCTGCTACCTGTGGTAATGCTACTTACTAAACCAGAATGTGATGAACATGTGTTTTTTGACATACAAAATCAAAAGAGGAATTAAGGAGAGGAAAATTATCAGCTTATACTAGTCCAGATTCAACATAGATGATGGTGCCAATTGACAAATTATTTAAAAGCCTTAGCTACATGATTGATTTGACAGTGAGCAGTCAATAGCTTTGACTGTTGACCACTCACAATTTATGGCAGGTTTATAGTGGTGTAGGGATGATGCGACATCCTGATATATCACAGTATTAATGAACCAGACGGAGATGTCGACAGAAAATGAGGAATATGAACGTTCAATAATATTGTTGGAGCAAGTGTTTTATATCTTCTTGAAAAGGAAAATAATTTGTTTTAACTCTTTAAATTCAATCCCTGTACTATAAACCTCTACCTTTTGACTCTGAGTTTACAATGTATAGATATAATTTAAGCAGAACTCTGTAGAAGTCAATGATTGTATAAGTTCATCAGTTTATGAAGATTTGGTACTTCTATACTGCTTTGACATGTCATTCATATTTGAAATTACATTCCCTGTGAAAAGTATACGTGCTTGGTTGAAATGAGCAAAACATTGCCAAAAGGACAAACATATGTACTTTATTTAAAGTGGACACTTAAACTGCCAATTTATGTGTTTTGGCCAGTTATTTAGTTTGCCTATTGTCCTATTCATTCATTTTACAATTAATTGTTGAATTGACAATAAAAGTACAGTCTTCTGGTCAATTGCAATTGTTAGATATATTTATTTCAAATTCAAGCTAGCTAGGCATTTGCATTCAAAATCTTAAATAAACTTGCTCTTGAAAATATACTCTGTGTTTCTTTGTTATTCAGAGTACAGTAGCTCAGAGGAATGTCCCGGTGTATGGAACAATATTCATAAAATGTTAAGATTTTTAGAGCAAACGGTTCGGAACTTTTGGATCAACCCACGTACTGTACAACGATTATACAATATCAAACCTCTTGAAAAAAAAGGAACAAAGTTGTCTTCATGAGTACTCTTCCTACTGTCCATCCTCCATATTCATGAAACAAAATGTTGATTTTATATACTGATCAATATACACTATCAAGTGAACTTATACAGTAAAACCTGTGTAAGTAGAACACCCTTGGTTACCCCAGAAGTGTTTACTTTGGAGGTTTGTTTAATATTAAGTCAACAGGTCAAGGAACTGTGAAATTACTACCTTGCAAACACCAACCTCATCTTGTGGTTATTGTACTACTTTTAATGTAATTGTTGGAGACATTTCTGACAATACAAAACTCAAATCTGAATTTATACCAAACTTTATTATTGAGATTGTTGCCCATATTTAGGTTCATACACTCATCAATATCAACTGGCCAGCCATATATCTGGAATGATTTCATTGAAAAAATCTCTTTTCCTGCATTCAGTACAACAGAAACTAGAGTTCGGCTTTTTCTCCCTTAAACAGACCAGCACTCGAATGTCTGATCCTTGTTGGAATAAATAGTATCCCAAATTTTAGTCCACTTATCGGGCATGTCAGGGGAATGCATATCCCTGGACCATGAGTGAGCGTACTTGTAAACCCATGCAGTTGTATAACCACAAATGTCCACTATTAGACGCATTGTTATGCTAATTACTTGAAGACCTGAGATCCAGTGTCATAAAATATCCCAAAGTATAGTCCTCATCCAGTAGTTGACTGCGAGAGAGCCTATACAACCATTGAGGATAACAACGAATGCCCAAATATGGCTACATCCCAACATTACTGAAAAAACAAGTTTGACATCATTAATAATTGTAACTATTGAACAGTTTTAGTTTAATTTCCAAGAGGATATCTACAGTGAAACATAACACAAGGAATCAAAGAGGTAATAAGAAAAATATGCAAATTATGTGCCAATCCACTCATGAAAATTTATTTAATTTGTTTTTTTCTCTCACAAAACTACCTTTTTACATTTTTGTGGAGGAACGGGTGATATAATCAGAAAAGAATGCATCTATCATGTCTATGAGAAAAATTGAATAATTGATAAATTCAAATGAGAGGAATATATAGGAAATGAATGGAACCAGTAATATAGTGTGACACAGATAAATATTACTTTGGAATAACTTTCAAGTATGATGGAATCTTTTTGATTTTTTCTGTATAAAATTATTAAATAGAGTGTCTAATGTGTGAAATGGTGCATGGTGTTTTCTGTCTGCAGCACTGTTTGATTATTTGGAAAAAATTGATAAATTCAGTTTTCACAATTCTTTACAAGAAACTTCAAGATTCCAACAAAATTGAAGATATTCCATAAGATGGTTGCATTTTTGCATCACCCTGTAAGACCATGGATTAATTTAAAATAGTCATCAAATCTAGAAATTCCAGTAAATATGAATGACCAGAAGGAAATGACGTACCTTTAATTGCCTGCATGTTTGACGTAAATGTGAATAGTCTTGTGAGCCACATATAGAGGGCACTGTTACTCTGGCCCCAGATTACTGCTGGAACCACAAGTAATTTTCCAAAGTTTGATACAATCAAACCATGTATGAGGTATTTAAATCTGAAATGAAATCAAAAAAGCAAATGACTTGGTGAATTTTATATGTGATTTAATGTATAAGTTTCTTGTTTGACAGTTCTAAATCATGACTACAGTCTCAGTAAAAAGCTCACATACAAGAACATGTTCATTTTACCTTCCAATAATTTATTGAATCCTAGGCTAAATACTTCGTTTCAAATATGGTAAAAAATAAAGCAAAAAAATATGTGTTCCTAATACCTGACATTAAAATTCTGGAGATTCAATGCTTTACTGAGCTGTAATGTCAGAGTAACTCCACAAATAAACACAATAAACTCTGAAAAATAAAATTCAGAGTCAACAATATTACATAATGCCAAATAAGGTTTCACTAATGCATCGTTCAAAGATTTGTGTGAGACCCCTCCCCAAGCAGGCAGAAAGGGTTGAAAATTTGACATGTCAGGCATGAAATGTTGTCCCGGTTGCAGGATTTAGATTTAGTAATCAGAATTTTTACTGTTTGACCAGCTATTATTGCTCGCAGGGGTGGGAAACTAACTCACAAGAATGCTCCAAGGGTTAGGTTTAGGAATTTGACAGCCAAATTTTTATTTTGTCAAATCCTCACCCCTTCCCACATAGGGCTCCCCTGACTAAACATTCTGAATAATACATTATCTCAAGAATACTGAATATATATCAAGCAAACAAGGCATTAACATGACAAAATGTTATCACCTAGTTCGTTGCTCACAATATTATGAGTTCAATCATTAGTCAGATTTGAATTTCTGAGAACTTGTAGAGATTCTGAAAAATTGGTCAAATTGATGCAAGTCAAAAAATACATTTTTTGACCCTGAGAAGGTCGTTGAAGATGAAATCTCAAATCTAAATTCAGATTTGAACATCTTAGAACTTGTAGATGATTTTGAAAAAAAATGGTTAGTTTGAAGCAAGTTGAAAAAAGACCTTTTTTGAAGATGATTTTGAAAAAATGCAAGTTGAATACAAGTTGAAAAAAGACCTTTTTGACCCTGAGAAGGTTATTGAATGTCAAATCTTAAGTCAGATTTGAACTTCTGAGATGAATTTGAAAAAATTGAAGTCAGTCTAAACAGTATTTGTTAAGTTAATGGAAGTTGTAAGAATTTGTTACAGACGCCAACCACCAACCGCCACCCACCGACCACAAACCACCAAATGCCGTTTGCCAACTGCTGTCACAAAAAAATGGATACCATAACAATATGTGACCACTTTTTGGTGATGACATAAAAACAAAACTGTAATTGCATAACTATCAGTCAAACAAATGGTTTTATCAACAAAAATCAATACACATCAAATTAATAAAAAGAAATTGAAATATAAATGAATTAGTACCTATAAGTACAGTTATGAACATCTTGTAGAAATTGAGTTCCAATGCGGCATAGAAAATGAAGTCACTTTGGGAAGACGTGTCCACACCTTGTGGTTGATTCTGAGCCCATTGGGTAAAGGCATCACAAATAAGAAATATAAATAGGAGTTTTCCATGAGACTGAAATCATAAAAGTGTTAAATATCATGGTTTTGGCTAATTTTAAATGCATATATTTATTATATTATCTTATAAATGTCTCTCTGTGCTGTGACAAACAAAAATATTTTTGTCTAAATTTGTAATTTTTCTATGATCAGGTGATATTTCAGTATGACATTAATGTATTGAGCTGTAATCTCAAAACCCTTAAAAATATTTACCCTTTTAAGTTTGCCCATTTATGGTAAAAGAGAGTCCTATTAACGAAGAGGCAAAAACGTATGACATAAAATATACAATAAGAGTTAAACCTCTCTATCGAGAACATCTATGTTTAGTGAACAATACTTCAAGACACATTCTACATTCAAGGACTCCTGTATAAAAGTACCCTCTCTGTAGTGAACACCTATTTACAGTGAACACTTTTATGTGGCTCCATAGGTGTTCACTATATCCAGGTTTTACTGTATAACTTTAAACTTACATGTAGATGTTGGTTTATCAATAGATGTCTATAAGCCTGTGGTTTATGCAAGAGGGCATCTAAGAATATCAGCACAGGATCCTGTTCAATGTATTTATCAACCACTGTATTGCAGCCGGTCTAGAATCAATCAAAAATAAGTTCAATGGTACAGTAAAATCTGTATGTCATACATATCTATAATCTGATCACCTCTTATTGTGAACCTTTTTTTCGGTCCAATTTTAATCTCCCATAGAGTACCATTTTAAAAACCTCAAAGTGAACATTTACCAAGTGCCTGTGGCCTTCCTTAACACAGTGAATACCAATTCCAAATAGTATTGCCATTCCACTCGTTCCACCTTAATTAATGCTTTACAAAACAGTGAGTATTGTCTCCAAATCCGAGGAGTATGTTTTCAATTAATCAACTTAGTACAAAACTTTGTTTTACTTATACTGGATCCTGGATCAAAAACATCCAAAATATCACACTTTTTTAACTGAACAAGTGAATATAAATCAAATCTAATCTTGAGCTATTTTCCAATTCTCACATCTCTGGTCAGCTGGTGCCATGCCAATCTGCTTACTTTGATGACTTATATATAGCTCCCTAGTAATTACAAGTACACAGTAGTTGTAACCTGACAATAGATGGCTTAATGATGGCCTTGAATCCCATACTCACATATTCTTTATCATGAGAATCAAAACGTTTTCTAGCATTAAGTAAAAAATGAAGTCAGTGCAGGGGTTTCATTAGCAGCAGCCAACAGGCAATTTTCACTGGTTGTTTTCACAAAATCGCCTGTTATTTTAAGGGACTTTTCAACTTTTCCATGTTAAATTTTTGATTTCCATTAATTTTGCCTGTTGTTTTCATTTATTTAGCCTGTTGTGAGAAATTCTAGTGAAACCCCTGCAGTGACATCAATTTTTTTTGTTTGATTATGAAGCATAATTATGTCATGGTCATTTTAATATGAGTACACTTTATCGTAAGTTATTTTTAGGGCTCCAGGGATACAACTGGCCCGTAGCCAGGGGGGAGCGGAGGGAGCGGCCACACTTTTCACATGATTTTTTGTCAAAACTGATAAAAAGCTCCAAAAGCTCCCGCTTAGTAAAACCGCTCCCCCCAGTAAATCCTGGCTATGGGCCTGTACAACTACCTTAAATTATGTATACTTACGCAATGAGCTATTCTTATGACTCCTCCATTGTAGTCTTTATACAGCTCCTTTGCAGGATGATTGCATTCAATACACACATACATGTATCCTTCATTCTCTCCACTAGTCATCGTTCTTTCATTTTAGTGCAGAAGTTAACCCCTGAAATTTTTGAAAATGAATTGAGATAAGAAACTCACAGCTCCCTGACTGCAAATAACAACCACTTTACATCATATGGGTGCGCTTGTTGTGTCAGCACAATCCATCCATACGCAAAAGTCACCCCCCCCTTGCTTGGGATATCCTTCAATATAACTTGAAGTTGGCAGTAGAGAAAAGACCTGTGAATAGTGCATAATGAATAGTACTAGGAAGGTACATTTAGGTGCTTATGAAGGTCAAATCTCAAAAGGAAAAAAACCTTACAAAACCCTTGGTACACAGACTGTGGGGGGGGGGGTATTTTCTCCTATCTGTTAACTACGCACTACTGCAGGATTTGCCAAGGGGATTCACTTTTTAAAAAATTCTAGGGGAATCACAGTCGGTATCAGTGTATGCAGTTGATTAGATCATGGAAGGAAGGTAGACTAATGACATCTGCATACTGACTGCGGCACAGGTATCAACACCTGACATCTATTGGTGGCCCAACCTGGAAGAATAGATGTCTAATGCTCAGACTACACTTAGACCTACATAGAAGCTTACGCACTAAGCTAAGAAGAAGCTCATTATTTCAGGTTTGGCGACCAATCAATAGATGTTGATAGTTCATACAGCTTCTTCTTTATCCTAGATTCTTTATCCTAGAAGGTTCCTGTGGACTGTCAGTCACTGTGTGGGGTTCACAAAAAATGGCCAAAAAAATAAGAATAGAATGGTGAAAAACTGCAGAATTTAGAAGAATTTTGGGTCAGAAGGCCCTCAACCCCCCCCCCCCTCGGACTACGGGCCTGGCATGTAAAATCCTTACCTAGAAGTTCATAATATAGCATATTATGATTTCTGAGGGAAACTGAAATTACGAACAAGACAAAGCAGAAAATAACCTGGCGCACAAAACGAAAACAACTTTTCTTAAGTGGCAGTGTTAAATTAGTTGAGCTGACAAAATTAAAAAAAATTAAAGTCACTATGAAATATTTGAAACGCATTATATTTTATTCTTAATGATTTAATGAGATAATCAAAATGTAATTTCGATTAAAAGCAGAATCTTAAATATAGTGTAATACAACTAAATGTTACAGAAAATTTGATTAGACAATATTTGGCTCTTTTCAAAATTTAAACCAATCAAAAGAGTTATTATATAAATTTGTGGAGTAGACAAAAATTATGGAAAAAACTTAAATTTCCCCAAGTCATCCTATTTTTAGCAAAATCACGCAAAAATGGAGGGTCGAGAGGACATACTGGGGTTTAAACCACAAAAGGAGATAGTTTACAACAAATATTTGCCATATTCGAGTGATATTGATTCCGAATCGAATGAAGAATTAGCTCAAATAAAAGGGAATTTGGCAAAATCTGTCCAGCTGAGAGATTTGAAGATTGGATGCAGCCATTGGACAAATCAGTTAATGCGGTATGTTGATTTTAATCTGTACTTCAGTAGGTTGTCAAATATGAATTATTTTATTCACAACATGATCCCAGAGCTGTCAAGTGTTCCGCGAATGGCGGGACAGTAATTGGTTCAGTAAGTGCATTATTTGATCAATCAGTATCTGAAAGTTTTATTTGAGTACTTTTACATTAGTCCCAGTCGTGCAGCAAATCCCTTGAATATCCCGCAAAATGCTGAAAATTTAGGTGAATGTCCCGCGAATTTGATCAAAATCACGCAAATCCCTCTAATGTGTCTCGAAATCCCGCGAATTTAGGTGGATGTCCCGCAAAATCCTGCAAATTTTGGGCACTGGGTCTAAAAAATCGATCCCACGAGAAAATCTTTGGGGGTTGACAGTACTGTGATCTGGTGCTTATTTAGCAGTTACTAGTACCATATGGTTGATCAGACCAAAGAATATGTTTTTAACGATGGTGGTATGGGTTTACCTTTAAAGAAATTGAAAGTGAGACTGGTTCGGCACATCTGGAGGTTTTATTTGAAGAGATATCACGGGTTGCCGGTATTGGACTGTATTTCTGTCACAATGGATTGGTTCAGGACACGGAACAGAAAGGTTAGGCCAGCGTGCATGTTTGGAATTTTTCTGCATTCCTCAATTGAGTCATATGTTATTTTTCAAACAGGAATCACTCCTTCCCCACATTGTCTACATCTTCCAGTTTTGCACAAAGAGTCCATTTATGTGCCTAGAAAAGACTGGTGAGAAGATTTGTTTTGTAAAATGTATAAAAAAGAGAAAATTCAGTGAAAAATTTTCTGAATTTTTTCACCAAATTTTCTTGTTTTTTAAACATTTTATCAAAAGATTCTTCTTCACATTCTTTTCTAGGTACATAAGTATACTTATTGTGCAAAAGTGAGAAATGCAGACATTGTGGGGATTGATCGAATGTGAGGAATGCAGCAAAATTCCGAACATGCAACCTGACCTTAATGGTATCGGAACACATAGATTACCTAAATAAAAATGGATAAAAACATGTATAAATGACGAAAAGCACCTCTGAATTTGTTTTTTTTAAAATGAAATATTTCCACTCACCTTTTACCTAGATTACACTTCTTGGCAATAAAAAGTGTTCATAGGATTTAAGGTTGATTGTAATTCCCAGTGTAAATTTCTTACATTATAATTCGCAGATTCGCAAATTAGTATGACCTTCCTTCCCAAAAGTTCAGTGCCTTGAGACCATTTGTATCGTCCATCCTATCCCAAATAGATATGAGAGTAGGCTAGTTTCTTATGCTCATAATTTAAACCTATCCAAATCTAAATTTTAATGATAGAAACCCTGATAATACTGTTCTTATACAGGGTGTCACAAAAAAAGGAAACCAGGATTTAATTGATTATTTCTCAAATATGAATAATGATGGGAAATTTCCACAGCTACATCTGATTGGTTATGATGGCCTCTTTCTTATGATACCAAACTTGTCTATTTCCCTTCATGGATGACTGAGTTCTAAGGGATTTAAGTGACCATGTCAGAAATAGGTTTGTACCACTTTTTCTTTCATGAATGACTGAACAATGAGGTATTAAAATGGCTATGTCAGGATGGTTCTTTGTGGTTATATCAAGGATATAGTCTACATGACATTACCAAGAGATATTGATGATCTAAGGGGCAGGATTGTTGCAGGAGTGGAGGATCTAAGGGGACAGTTTGCTATCACCAGGGAGCAGTGCATGCGATGAGATCTAGGGTAGACATTTGCATTGAAAGGAATGGGGGTCATGTTGAAGAGCACTGGGGTTAAAACAACTTTGAATTGACATAGGGGTTTAAAAGGGGTGTCAAATATGATATGTGTAACTTAAATTGGAATAAATTAGTAAAAGGGTAATAACCTGATGTTTGTTGTTACTTATCACTATGTTATAAGTGATGGTGAAATTGACTTGGCTGGAAGTGGCACAGAGCCATTTCTGACATGGTCACTTAAATCCCCCATTGCTCAGTCATCTGTGGAGGAAAATAAAACCTCTTGGTATCATATGAAAGAGGACATAATGACTTGCCTGGGTCCTTTTTTTAAAATCACCAGTGGGTACAATGCTACTTGCCTCAGTGTTGGGAAGATGGGGATTTCACTAGAATTTTTCACAACAGGCTAAATAAATGAAAATAACAGGCAAAATTAATGGAAATCATAAATTTAACATGGAAGTGAAAACAACCAGTGAAATCGCCTTTTGCCTGCTGCTAATGAAACCCTTAGGAAGATCACATGTATACACAGGACTCTCACCAGGCTTTTAGACTGTGGCGCAGCTCCACCCTCTATTAAGCTCCCTCCACACCCTATTGGCAAATCATGACTGTTTCCACAGTCTAAACTTGACTGAATATACAATAATAGCATGTAATAAGGTAAAACATAACAGAAATATGATTTATCACAATTGAACGGTTATTCTGAACATGTAGCAGCACACCCTAAATATTTCCTGGTGAGAGCCCTGATACAAGTACATTCATTGCCTGCTGCTAATGAAACCCTTATGAAGATCACATGTATACAAGTACATTCATTGCATGTGGCTTTCTAAATTTTAATGGTTTCTTAAAAGGCTCCGGAAGTTTCTTTGGGATGATATTAACATTAATCATGGGGAGATTCTAGTCAATGACATCATTCAGATGACTCAGTAATATTACTAATTTACTATATTTGATTGATATAATCTCAAATATTGATTTTAAACTTGAATATGGGCATGACAGTCTTAGTCTATCAAATAGTATCAGGCCCATAGCCAGAATTTTTGTTGGGTTCTAGGGGGGTTCATTTTGTTCAATTTTTGCCCAAATATGGCCAAAATCACCTGAAAAGTGTTTGGAATGGTGAAAAACTCCAGACCCCCCCTCTTGGTTACAGGCCTCAGTATCTAGTATTTTGCTTAGTTGAGTTACTTCTGGTTTCAGTTTCCCAAGTAGCGGCAGAATTCATCAATTCAGTGATCAAGTCTTTCAAGTGCCTCTACTTTTTTTGTCTAAATCGTATTGCACATCCCTATGGATCGTTCACCCTTAGTCCCCTATAGATAGTAAAACTTACCGGATAAATAGTGAAAACAAATTTCGTCAATCCAGAAAGTTCCGGATGCACCGCGGTAGACAAATTTTAAAATTCCCGGCTGTTGGATATATATGCAAATTTGTTCTTTAAAAAATTAGTGGTATAAGGTTTCTCCATGAATTGAATAATAAATTGAATTGAAAAATTGAATTGAAAAGCTTAAGCAATCCTGTAATTTGGTAACAGTTATGAATAACTAATTTGATTTATATAGAACATACTTATTCTTCACTAATGTCTGTATGGATTTAAATGGATGCAAATACAAAGAATGTTTCTATTTTTGCCTAACTACAGAATCTAAAGATATCATACCTCAATCTTGGCTAATCAAATAATTCACTCAAAGTAATTGTTTAGACAATTTTGGCCTCTCGATGCAGTCAATGGGGAAACAATCTGTGCTGACACAAAAATGGATCACCCTATATTAAATTCTGATCCAATAATATTTCAATACATCATGACCTTGTAGCATAGACTTTTCTGTGCTATCTGGAATATGGTGAGGATGTTTCATTTTACATTTCTTTGTTTATTTCATTAGATGTTTGATGGGATTTGCTTTGCCTTAGCATTACTGTTGATTTTTGTAAGCAATTCCAAGAGATTACTGAAAAAGAGATCATTTTAAAAAAATGAAGGCTCGTGTGAAGGATATGTTTGCAGTGTAATGAATTGTATTGATAAATAGGGATGCTTACTTTTAACGTGGTTGTAATTTACCGAACGGCAAAAGTAGAAAATATCCGAACATTTTGAACTGATTAAAATCTTTAAATTGTGAAGGTCTGAGTACCTGGACCCCTTAGAAAACATCCAAACATATCAAAAAGTGAAGATGGGTCAATTTGATTCTTGTTCTCCGAAGATATTAATAAAATAGTTAAATGTTCGGAGTTTTTTTAATGCTGTAAATTGTTCACAATTCTAAATCAAGAAGTCGCTCGTATTTCTGTCGTATTTAGGAAATCATGTTGCCGAAAATCAGTGGACAGTTTTCATGGTGTTGTTGTAAAATGTGCGTATATGTCGTTTGAAACCCTCTCTAACGCAATTTTATTATAAACTAACACCTTAGGGTTAAACTTTTGCTCGAGGAATTAACTCATTTTCATCAATAAATATTATCCCATCAGGTTTTCTACTAGTAAACTAACGTTTAAATCTCAGTCCATTGTCGTTATCAATTACTACTAAAACCAGGTGAGATATGGCTCTGAAACGAGCCAATAAGAAAATGAATTTTCCATTTTATTTAATTGCCACTCATTTTGTTTTCAGGTATATCCGGCTATATGGTAGAAAGTTCTCAAAGGAGGACCACATCTGCTTTATCAAACTGGCATTTGAACTGATTACCACTCCAAACCTTGAACCATCCCTGATTGTCAAGTTCAGCTCCTTGTTGGTTACATTACTCAAGTAAGTCTCATATTGCATTAAGGTGGGTCAAGTAGAATGATTAAGTCTCATATTGCATTAAGGTGGGTAAAGTAGAATGATTAAGTCTCATATAGGCATCAAGGCAGGTCAAGTAGAATGAGTAAGTCTCATATTGCATTAAGGTGGGTCAAGTAGAATGATTAAGTCTCATATTGCATTAAGAAAAGTCAAGTATAAGGATTAAGTCTCATATATGCATTAAGGTAGGTCAGGCAGAATGAGTAAGTCTCATATATGCATTAAGGTAGATCAGGTAAAATGAATAAGTCTCATATACGCATTAAGGTAAGTCAAGTACAATGATCAAGTCTCATATATGCATTAAGGTAAGTCAATTAGAATGAGTAGGTCTCATATATGTATTAAGGTAGGTGAAGTAGAATGAGTAAGTTTCATATACGATGAATGTACAAAGGTAGGTCAAGTAGAATGAGTAAGTCTCATATATCTATTAAGGTAAGTCAAGTATAAGGATTAAGTCTCATATATGTATTTAGGTAGGTGAAGTAAATGAGGAAGTCTCATATGCATTGAGGTAGGTCAAGTACAGGGTGTTCCAAAAGTAACAGGACTGGTGCTGGCATTTCGTCAATTTTGCACTGAGTGTCTTCAAATTTTCGCAAATTGTACTTTGAAGTATTTCAACTAAAATTGTAAAGTTCCAGAAAAAATGATGAAATGCGGTTAGAGTTATGGTTACTATAGTAACATGACATCCCAATACCCGGGGCAACTTTTTTCCTGAAAATGTAAAATCTAACATTTTTGTATTACTGAAGAAAGTATCTAATTCACCTATTATAATACAACATTTCTTGTTTATTTTATTAGTTGCTTTGTTGTAAAATGTTGCTATACAACTCAGATTCGACAAGTATAATTTCATAATAATAATATTTATTCAATATCCTGAAATATCACTATGTACAACAATCTGAACAATTCACAGTTGAGTTTTTGAAAAGACCCAATTTGAAGCCAGCCATCCACCTTGATAGCGCGCCTGCCCCCAGGTCACCATTAAAGACCTTGCAGCTATAGAGGAGCTAGGTCTTGAGGTCTAAAACCTTGCACCATACTCTTCTGATCATGCAATATCTAATTTTTACTTATATTGAGAATGGAATGCTAATCAGTGCTGTAAGACCTTAAGATGAGAATGACCTTCTCCAAGTTGTCCTATGGACTCTGCGTGACATGTCCTCAAATGGGTTGACTCATGTGTTTGGGTCATGGATACAGAGTGCTACTCTTCTATTGACCAAAGAGGAGCCTATTTTTCAAAGTACATAGGATACATAGGAATATCAAATTATGTAAAACAAATGTAATTTCCACCAGATGTTGCATTTCAACTTTGATATGGCATGTACAAAATGATATGGCATGTACAAAATGCTTAATGACTCTGTAACTTTTTGCATAGAATGTTGCCCCGGGTATTGCAATGTCATGTTACTATAGCAACCATAACTCTACCCTAGTTTCATATATTTTGTCGAAACGTTGTAGTCTTAGTAACGATACATGAAAGTACATTATGTGATATTTTGAAGACGATTGGTGCATATTCAACAAAATGCCAGCACCAGTCCTGTTACTTTTGGAACACCCTGTATGTATTGAGGTAAGTCAAGTATAATGATTAAGTCTCATATATCTATTAAGGTAAGTCAAGTATAAGGATTAAGTCTCATATATGTATTTAGGTAGGTGAAGTAGAATGAGAAAGTTTCATATATGCATTAAGGTAGGTCAAGTATAAGGATTAAGTCTCATATATGTATTAAGGTAGGTGAAGTAGAATGAGAAAGTTTCATATATGCATTGAGGTAAGTCAAGTATAAGGATTAAGTCTCATATATGTATTTAGGTAGGTGGATTAGAATTAGTAAGTCTCATATATGCATTGAGGTAGGTCAAGTAGAATGAGTAAGTCTCATCATATATGCATTGAGGTAGGTCAAGTATGTATTAAGGTAAGTCAAGTATAATGATTAAGTCTCATGTATCTATTAAGGTAAGTCAAGTATAAGGATTAAGTCTCATATATGTATTTAGGTAGGTGGATTAGAATTAGTAAGTCTCATATATGCATTAAGGTAGGTCAGGTAGAATGAGTAAGTCTCATCATATATGCATTGAGGTAGGTCAAGTATGTATTAAGGTAAGTCAAGTATAATGATTAAGTCTCATGTATCTATTAAGGTAAGTCAAGTATAAGGATTAAGTCTCATATATGTATTTAGGTAGGTGGATTAGAATTAGTAAGTCTCATATATGCATTAAGGTAGGTCAAGTAAAATGATTAAGTCTCATATATGCATTAAGGTAGGTCAGGTAGAATGAGTAAGTCTCATATATGCATTAAGGTAAGTCAAGTAGAATGAGTAAGTCTCATATATGTATTAAGGTAGGTCAAAATGCTCACCAGTGTTATTCTCAGTAAATTGATCAAACAATATTTTCTCAAATACCTCTATAATTAAAAACATTAGTTTAATGCTTTGTATTCATTAATATTTATTGCTTTATAAATTTGATTCAAAATACAGTAATAATTACAGAAAAGGATTCTGATTTCCTCTTTACAAAAAGCACTTTATTTAAATTTCACACAATTTACTCTGAAACATTATACCTTACAAAACCATAATACAATATAGATTAATTCAAGAAAAACTGATTTTAACAATAACTATTTTAACAGGAAGAGGGATTTGTTGTCAAGAGATGATTTGGTGTTACCATGGAGACCTCTCTATAAACTCTGTGAAGAGATGTTGTACTCAAAGCATGAAGAATATGGGCTTCTACTACTACCTGTGTGAGTACATCATTAAAATTTGTCGTCAAATAAATAAGAAATTGTTATATCAGTGATCTCCTAAGCATTTAAGCAAGTGGGCGCAGCACCAACCTGAGGTATCAAAAACAGGCTGCACCAACCTGAAAAATTGGGATATTTTGACCAATTTTTGTCTAAATTGTGAAAATGAGAATTTTGCACCCACTTGAGAAAAAATTCTGTTGAGAACACAGGTCAAGATGTTTTGAATAATTCTCATTTTGCCATCCAGGAAAATATAAAAATAAAAAATATAAAAGTACATTTATCTATGTATTTTCTTAAATTCCTATGAGTCAGAAACCTCTGAAAGTGGAACCCTTTCTGCAGAACCAAAGGCATTTAACTTACACAGATTTTACTGTACATTCTATATACAACCATAACTTGCAGAGTTAAATGCATCATGCAAAAAAACACAAAAGAAAGAAAGAAATCGTCTATATAAGTAAATGAAGGGTAATAACAGAAATTCAAACATGACTGTATTATCACACCCTCTAAATGGTGAACAAAATCAATATTTCTTCAGGGGTTTATTCATCAACACTACCCCTGGTCATAAAAGTAATGTGTGACATCATAATGGTGGGCCGTAGTAATGGCGGACCATTTAATATATATTCTAAAAATTTTGGTGATTTTGATGTTCGAATCATAAAATAATTTTGAATTGTTCGAAACATTTGTGCCAAGCCCTGCGGGGTGTATTCGTCGATATAACACCTGCTCTTTGGTCTATATTTCTAATGACAAATATACTGATGAGATCAAAAACATTACTATCCTTGTATTGTCATCTTCTAATTGTGATATCCATCCTCTGAAGTGTTTCCATGACAACAATATTCAGGCCTAAAACTACATGATTTTTAGAAGAAAATAATGTACTCTCATTTGAACATGTAGAATTATTGTACTCAGGATACGTTGCCTGATTGAGTATAAAGGCAAGGTTGTCTTTTGAAACAGTTTTAATAAAGTCCCTGAGAAAATTCAGTTGAGAGGGGGACTGTTATTCCTGGGGGTCATGATACAACATTATCACATACAAGTCATCGCCTGAAATAACTTTCTTAACGGACACTGAGCCTGCATGTTTCTGAATATATCTCCCAAATAATGTTTTCAGGTTTTTGCCTTGAGGCATAATACTATAAGTTATTGAATTATTTTTGTGGAATACAGGATATATTCTGTTCGAGAAATTTTGTATTGGAACGAGACGAAATCGAGTGCCAATAGAGAATATCGAGACAGAATATATCCTGTATTGCACTTCAAATCATTCAATAACATTTTTATCGTGTGATCCTCTGTATTGCTACTGAGATTGTCCCCTCCGTACCAATATTTTCTGTATTGCGACGGAGATGATCAACGGGGACAATCTCAGGAGCAATACAGATTGGTACAGTAAGAACTGACCAATCAGAGGGCTTCATTTTACAGATGATACGATGAATATGCGTATAGTTTTAGGCCTCTCCCTTTTGGGTTATATTGTTTATTCTCTATATTTAATTGTTGTGATTGTATTGTCCTTCCTGTTGGACCTATCATTACTTGGCAAAGTTGCTAATACCAAAAGACAGCCATGCTCATTTATAACCATAGATTTCGGCCACCCCTCAGCTTTTATATATCTCATAAGTACTCCATCTGGAGTGAGGAGGTGGATTCTTTGATTAAAGTAATCAGCCACAAGGACATTATCATACTTGTCCACACAAACATCATATAGTCCATTAAATTGGCATGCTCCAGAACCTTTTGCCCCATATCTGAACACCTCTGAGCCATCTCTTTCCATACCTACCACACAATGTGCTTCTTTATCAGACACTATCGCTACACCCTTGCTTGTGATTGCTATTGAGTTGGGATGCTGAAACATACTGTATTTATTCCTATCCACTCTTTTACATGTCTGAGCATTGGCATGCAAAACAAAACCTCTTTGCACCATTGTTTCCTCTTTTTGATGTCGCATATATCCCCTTGCTTTTACAAGCTGACCTACCAAGATGTCACCATTTGTGTTAATTGCAATTGCAGTTAACTCTGCCTCCTTTCTTGAAAATTTACTAAAACCAGCAATAATTCTCACATAATCGTTATCTAAATAACATGAAATGTTTTGTATGTTCCCACCATTATGATTATATATATGTATGGCTGATGAGTCTTTTTTGGTGCAGTAAAATTTATCATCATTAGAAGCAACATTGGTAAATGAATCACCAAAGCTTTGACATGGCTCAGTCTCATTGTTGTTGTAGATATAGGCTGCACTGCTATTCCCAATAGCAATAATTTTGCCACTGTCTTTGATTACTGAGAAAGCATGTAGATCCAGGGAGCCCTTAAGTGCCTGTATTTTATCTATCTAATCTTGGGTTCTATTAATTCCCGTGGTTGTATTTTAGGACTTCTGCGTGCCATATTTCCAATATCCACTTTTCCAAAGATCACTTTGTCCTCACATATCTCAGACGGATCAAACTTCAATTTATCACACTCCATATCAAGATTAGTTTGAACAGGATCTGTCCAATCTTTTAATTTGAGGTTGATATCAGTGGCCATAGAGACTAGCTCAGTGTCGTGTCCATGCTGGTGTATCATTCGGAGATGCCGCATTTGGCTCTCTGCTGTTGTTTTCCAGTGTTCCAGATTTCTAATATGGGCATGGTATTGTTTAGCGCGCTGTTGTTTCGATTTTTCCACCATGTTAATGAGTTCAGTGTATTTGTCGCGGATGGCTTGGATGGTGATATTCATGTCATTGGTGAGCTCATTTGTTGTATCGATTACATGTAGCTCAAAGGCTTGTTTGTTCTGGAGACTGCTCTGAATGCTGTTCTCAAGTGTTGAGATTCTATTTTGTCCATGCTGCAGTACATTTTCAAGTTCTTGTCTTTTAGTCGCCGCAATGGCTGGTATCTTTACGGTGTCATGGTTCAGGTGATCAGCACTGTAGCATTCTGAGCATAGTATGCTACTGTCTACTCTGCAGTAAATCTCAAGAATATTTCCAGGATGTTTTGAGCAGTAAATGTCACTTTCTTTTACTTTTTCCAAGGCCTTCTTAATATATTCTGTCTCATCATTTAGGTTTTTTACACAGTGATCTTGAAAGAATTCATCATGAAAACATCTGCAATTTTCACAAAATTTTTTGTCACATTCCTCACATTTTATACTCGCGATTGTCTCCTTTTTATGCATGTTCAGGCATGTACTGCATAAAGGTTTAGATTTAGCATCTAGATCATGGATAATATCCACCAAATTGTTTGTTGTAGAGTTGACCTCAATATGTTCAACCCCATTTTCGGGGACTGGATGAACTTGTTGACATTCAGGGCATTTAAGTGTGTCACCCTCCTCGGTTGTTTTATGCAGTTTATCTAGGCACTTTGCACAGTATGTGTGCATACATGGTAGAGTCCTTGGCTTGGTTAGTACCTCATTACAAATAAGACAAGTCAATATCTCTTTAAATTGTTCCTCCATTGCATCCGCCATTTTGAAATCAATGCGATGACAAGCTTCGTCTTCAATGATTCATATTAGTCTATACTTGTTTAAAGTTCACTTTAACTGCTATTTATGTTAAAGCAGCTGTGACTACTGCATTTACTTGGTGTTTTAAGTACACAAAGGCTACAACCACAAAAATCTAGTTGAAGTCTATTTGTCTGGATTTGTATGCATTATTTACTTAATATTTTTGAAAATGTCTGTGTATAAGGCTACAGTTTAGGCTTATTTATAAAGCATGCAAGCAGGATTGGCTCCCAGGGTTCCAACTCAATATTTTAAATCTCCAAGCAATTTGTTCAGTGCTGATCCTGCCTGCATATTTCTGCGGCTGCATTAGGAGAATGATCAATATTCAAGCAATACCAACGAACTTGACCCATGGCGATGAAAATGTCGTTAATGACCTGACATTTTAACTGAATTGAAAATTCATAATAGCAAATCAAAAGATTTGAAATAATATTTTGATCATTTCTTATGTATTTTGAAATATTTTATTTGTTAATAAGACCAAAACTCGCGATTCAAATTCTGAAGTGAAAAAATGACGGCTGTTAATTTCAAGATTTGTAATCACAACATGACTGTCATGATATATGTCAGAATATTGAGATGGAACCCTCTGAACTCTGGGAGTCAATCCTCCTTGTAAAACATGTCAATGTTGGTTTTTGTGTCATGCTAACCTACATGTCACTCATATTCTCACCAGTCTGAATGCACACCACAATTATTTTGCCATAGGCCGAAATGTTAACTTCCAATGTCCTCAAGAAAAAACAGATCGAATTTATGCTCAATTATCACCCTTACTTCAAAGCACAATGTCTTATGTACCCACACATGAAAAATAATTGAAATCGGTACATTGATTTTTTTTCTTGTCATGGTTTTATCTCCTCCACCATGAAGAGCTCCATAGTTAGTGGTCGAATCACTCAAAATTAAGCAGTGTATAAATGCGCTGTTTCTCTGCAGTGAAAACGAAATTAACTTGAAGCTGCCCATGTCAACTTGTTCCATCAACTCACTGTACTAAATGATCCACCAGGCCCATCAAAGCCCAAAGACACTGTATGCAGAGACATCTATTCATGTATATAGCATTTATTTTATAGAACTAGTGGTGTTCATTCTCTATGAGAATTTAACAAAAATGTTTATTAACCTTGCAGTGTTGCAATTGTCAATACTGTACACGTTTTTATTCCGAGACTGTACTTTTGTCAATAATTTGTTTTAATTTTATTATTTAGTACATAGAGGAAATAAACTTTGTTCTCATTTATTCATTTTATCAGTAAGCATACCAGTTGCTGTCCATTTTTTACTTTTTTTATTGGGAGGCCTGGAAGTTGTCATTTAGTTCATTTATTAGGAGGCCAAATATTTGCTTTCAGTTTGATTTGAATAAGGATGCCTGGCAACAAAGTCTTTGCTATAAAGCGTTGAAATTTATTTGTAGTCACATTTGAATGGTTTATTATTGGGATGACGTATTTAAATTCTGTGTTCATATCTATGATTCTCAATTCAATTTGGGATATTTTTTTAAGTTTTCTGAAAAATGGTAACTAAACATCTCCATTGACATAGTGTTAAAAAATATTTTAAGGGTTGATTTACTCCTTTTGAGGATCACGATTGATAATATGAAATAATTCCATGTATGTGTAATTGTACAAGAAAGGCTATTGAGGACTGGAGGTTTTTTCAGTAAATCAAACCCATTCTCATAGAATAAAACATGCAATAAATTACCAAAATTGTACATTTCTTTATATTTCATCCACCAAGAGTTCAATATGATCTCTTCTTTATATATTCTTTACAGTATTAAGATTATAGTGTCTAGTTTAGAAGATAAAAATGACGAGATGTGCAACTTTACATTTAATGGCAGTTAATCCTATTATATGTTTTTAATACATGAATGGTTATATTATTAGAGTGTCTTCTATCTTTTGTGCTAAATTCTACTTATATATATTTAATTATCCCATCGAACGAAGTTCGGAGGGATATAGGGAACGCCTCCGTCCGTCCGTCCGTCCGTACGTACATACGTCCGTCCGTCCGTCCGTCTGTCCGTCCGTCCGGGCAATAACTCAAATACCGTTGGCCCGATTTTGTTCATATTTTGTACACATATACCCTATGGGGGTAGAAGTTCTGCTCGAAAGCCGATTTTCAAAATGGCTGCTCATTTCAAAATGGCGGCCATTTTAGTGCCGATTTTACAGTAATTTAGGTGCAATATGTAAAACTGTAATAGCAATATGTTTTAAATGTAAAAAAATTATAAAGGACATTAATAATGCTACAATAGATATTAAAGAAGCACATGGCAGCCATCTTGAAAAATGGCGGCCTTTACTCGTCATTTTACGATTTTTGCTGTAACTCAAAAAATAGTGGAGCGATTTTGTTCATATTTGGTATGTGAATACTATAAGCATTGCACACTGTCTAAAGACACTTTTCGTAGTAGGCGGCCATTTTGAAAAATGGCCGCCATTTTAACGTATTTTACTATAACTCGAAAAGTAGTGGAGCGATTTTGTTCATATTTGGTATGTGAATACTATAAGCATGGCACACTGTCCAATGACACTTTTGGTAGAAGGCGGCCATTTTGAAAAAAATTTGAAAAATGGCCGCCATTTTAACGTATTTTACTATAACTCGAAAAGTAGTGGAGCGATTTTGTTCATATTTGGTATGTGAATACTATAAGCATGGCACACTGTCCTATGACACTTTGGGTAGAAGGCGGCCATTTTGAAAAATGGCCACCATTTTAACATATTTTACTATAACTCGAAAAGTAGTGGAGAGATTTTGTTCATATTTGATATGTGAATACTTTAAGCATGGCACATTGTCTAATAAAACTTTTGGGAGTAGACGGCAATTTTGAAAAATGGCCACCATTTTTATGTGTGTTATTTTACAAGTACGTGTGCGATTTCAAAAATTTTAGAGGTGGCTACTTAAAAGCATATTATTTCTTCTGATGACAACTTGGCTAGTGAGCAACCATTTTGAAAATGGTGGCTTTTCTGGTGTTTTGTTTTATGGTTTTTGCTATTCGTTTGTAAAAATGCCAGCCATTTCTGTTCGATGGGATTCGCTACGCTTTGGCGTTGCCGTTGTTCCGGTTTTATTTACTGCTAGCCCACCAGCCATCATTTTAGAGAAACTCACCTTTGGAAGTAGGAATAATTTTTTGAGAAATGTTACCTTTATCTTTAAGAAAATTATATTTGTACCTATTTGGAACTGTAGCATCAGTAATTGTCCAATCAAGTGACATAAAATTATTGCACTACTGACTTTACTTGTTTAGGTCAAAATTAATATCGATTTAATTTTTTAAAATTTGATTTGATTGCAGGAATGTTGAGACGACAATGAAGAATGTAATAAAAGTTTGCCGAGTGTAAGTATCATAAATTTAGTTTACGCATTTGCACTTGTTAGATATTTCCTGGCTAGGTTTATTTATGGGCTTTCAATTAGCTAATGGTTTATTTAATTGACCAATTATATCTAGGATTATTATATCACTATCATATACATTACATGGACATGAAGATAAGAAGACATATTCAATGGCCATGCCTGTGATGTCAGAAAAAGGCGTATTCAACAAGTGTATTCACCAGGTGTGGTGTTTCGTCCAGTGTAGATCTAAAAGTGATATGAAAAATCTAATCTTTCTTGTTCTTATAAGACATTTCCAATAGTAAGAGAGTGGTGAATATAACAGTGAATAATGAAACAAATATTTCATACTATTTACGGTGAATACCTGTTGCACTTTCAATGATTTGACAAGGTGTGTTCCCCTGACCCTTCAGTCTTAGGGGAATACACCTTACTAGAATCATTGAAAGATTAACAGGTATTCACCTCGACAGTATGAAATATTTGTATAATATTCACCGCTCCCAGGAATTTTTGAAATAAAATTACATTCAGTGTTTATCAACATTGCAACCCTGGCATGTGAACAGATTTGAAACACAGAATTAATTATGTTGAGGATAGCAAGCTTGACATTAATATGATAAAACAAATATTTCTATTTTCAGTGAATACATGTGGTACTTTCACAAAATGAAAATCCGCTAGCCCTTTGAGATTTATTAAATATCACTACAGTGAAAGGTGATTAGCGAAAAGGTATTCACCTCAACAGAATGAAATATTTGTATAATTTCTATTTTTTCTTAATATGTTTGCAGGTATTTCTCAGTAGAGAGTACACAAGAAATGTTGGATGAGTGGCGCCCCCTATTATGCCCCTATGATATTGTAATGCTAAAAGGCATGTTCTATCTAGAAATGTTCCTACCAACAATGATCCCTGTAGAGCACAATGATAAAGGCTACAAGTAAGTAATAATATGTATAATGTAATGTTAGGTTTATTTGCATCCTCCTAAGCAGGTGTCCAGAATCCGTACCTCCTTCTTCCCCCTGCTATAACCAATTTGGAAGCGGCCGATTAAACTGAATCACGTGATCTAATTATGCGCAATGACTTATACATTATTTCTGTCTCAGTGTTGCGACAGCCGATCAGATTGCGAGTTCTTAATCGGGGAAATGCTAACTGCTTTTCACAGGGGGTAAAAAGAAAGAAGATATTCTGGATTTTGAAGCCCTGTGATCGGAGGATGGTTTATTTGAGTCTCACATGTCTTCACTGACATGAGCGATTATGAGACGAAATGATATGAGACTAAAGTATAGTAAGAAAACCATGAATAATAAGAATTCTTAATATTATGAAAATTTTGACAACAGTGCCTTGTCAAAAATCAAGGACTTTTTTTACTCCACTGAAATCAAAAATAAGAAATATATATATTTTTCACGAAATAATGCAATTATGCAAAAATAGGAGTTCTGATATTGCATTTTCAAGCTGTGGCTATATCTATGAATGTTTTATCTATGTTTTATGGATATTTTATAATTATTTTTTTAATTAATTTGTTTTTTTATAAATATTTGATTTATGTTTTTGTCAATGAATGTTTGATCTATACATTTTTGATCTATTGTTATGCATGTTTCATATACATTGTATGTTCCTTTATGGTTATATTGCAGGTTATGGTTCAAGGAGTTCGTTGATCTATTGTTATGTATGTTTCATATACATTCTATGTTCCTTTATGGTTATATTGCAGGTTATGGTTCAAGGAGTTTGTTGATCTATTGTTATGTATGTTTCATATATATTGTATGTTCCTTTGTGGTTATATTGCAGGTTATGGTTCAAGGAGTTTGTTGATCTATTGTTATGTATGTTTCATATATATTGTATGTTCCTTTGTGGTTATATTGCAGGTTATGGTTCAAGGAGTTTGTTGATCTATTGTTATGTATGTTTCATATACATTGTATGTTCCTTTATGGTTATATTGCAGGTTATGGTTCAAGGAGTTTGTTGATCTATTGTTATGTATGTTTCATATACATTGTATGTTCCTTTATGGTTATATTGCAGGTTATGGTTCAAGGAGTTTGTTGATCTATTGTTATGTGTGTTTCATATATATTGTATGTTCCTTTGTGGTTATATTGCAGGTTATGGTTCAAGGAGTTTGTTGATCTATTGTTATGTATGTTTCATATACATTGTATGTTCCTTTATGGTTATATTGCAGGTTATGGTTCAAGGAGTTCGTTGATCTATTGTTATGTATGTTTCATATACATTCTATGTTCCTTTATGGTTATATTGCAGGTTATGGTTCAAGGAGTTTGTTGATCTATTGTTATGTATGTTTCATATACATTGTATGTTCCTTTGTGGTTATATTGCAGGTTATGGTTCAAGGAGTTTGTTGATCTATTGTTATGTATGTTTCATATACATCGTATGTTCCTTTATGGTTATATTGCAGGTTATGGTTCAAGGAGTTTGTTGATCTATTGTTATGTATGTTTCATATACATTCTATGTTCCTTTATGGTTATATTGCAGGTTATGGTTCAAGGAGTTCGTTGATCTATTGTTATGTATGTTTCATATACATTGTATGTTCCTTTATGGTTATTTTGCAGGTTATGGTTCAAGGAGTTTGTTGATCTATTGTTATGTATGTTTCATATACATTGTATGTTCCTTTATGGTTATTTTGCAGGTTATGGTTCAAGGAGTTCGTTGATCTATTGTTATGTATGTTTCATATACATTGTATGTTCCTTTATGGTTATATTGCAGGTTATGGTTCAAGGAGTTTGTTGATCTATCGTTATGTATGTTTCATATACATTGTATGTTCCTTTATGGTTATTTTGCAGGTTATGGTTCAAGGAGTTTGTTGATCTATTGTTATGTATGTTTCATATACATTGTATGTTCCTTTATGGTTATTTTGCAGGTTATGGTTCAAGGAGTTCGTTGATCTATTGTTATGTGTGTTTCATATACATTGTATGTTCCTTTATGGTTATATTGCAGGTTATGGTTCAAGGAGTTTGTTGATCTATCGTTATGTATGTTTCATATACATTGTATGTTCCTTTATGGTTATATCTCAGGTTATGGTTCAAGGAGATCTATTGTTATGTATGTTTCATATATATTGTATGTTCCTTTGTGGTTATATTGCAGGTTATGGTTCAAGGAGTTTGTTGATCTATTGTTATGTATGTTTTATATACATTGTATGTTCCTTTATGGTTATATTGCAGGTTATGGTTCAAGGAGTTTGTTGATCTATTGTTATGTATGTTTCATATACATTGTATGTTCCTTTATGGTTATTTTGCAGGTTATGGTTCAAGGAGTTCGTTGATCTATTGTTATGTATGTTTCATATACATTGTATGTTCCTTTATGGTTATTTTGCAGGTTATGGTTCAAGGAGTTCGTTGATCTATTGTTATGTATGTTCCTTTATGGTTATATTGCAGGTTATGGTTCAAGGAGTTTGTTGATCTATGGGACTCCTGTCAGAATGTTCCTTCATGGGAAGCTGTAAGTAAATGTTTCCTATCCTGAACTCAGAAACGAGAATGAGAGAAATTTGACAGCTCACATTGTTTTCATTTTCATAATTTTGAGCACTGTTTATCACAATATAGTAAAGAACCTATATATGCAAACACCCCTTTTATATGAACACCTCTCAGAGTGAACACTTTTTCAGTCCTATTTTTTAAATTGTATATAGAAGTACATGTTAAAAAACCTTTAATGTGAACACCTGCCAATCTGAACACTTTAGGCTGCCATACAAGTACATGTTAGAAACCTTTAATGTGAACACCTGCCAATCTGAACACTTTAGGCTGCCATAGAAGTACATGTTAAAAACCTTTAATGTGAACACCTGCCAATCTGAACACTTTAGGCTGCCATAGAAGTACATGTTAAAAACCTTGAAATGTGAACACCTGCCAATCTGAACACTTTAGGCTGCCATAGAAGTACATGTTAAAGACCTTGAAATGTGAACACCTCCCAATCTGAACACTTAAGGCTGCCATAGAAGTATATGTTAAAAACGTTGAAATGTGAACACCTGCTAACCTGAATACTTTAGGCTGCCATAGACTTACATGTTAAAGACCTTGAAATGTGAACACCTGTCAATCTGAACACTTTAGGCTGCCATAGACTAACATGTTAAAAACCTTGAAATGTGAACACCTGCCAATGTGAACACTTTAGGCTGCCATAGACTTACATGTTAAAGACCTTGAAATGTGAACACCTTCCAATTAACTTGAAATGGTCCCAAATGCATTCAGATTAGACAATATTTTCTGGCAAAGGACTGGTTATGGTTTGTTGAGCTAAATCCAACATTGAGGATGTGTGTTTTACAGATTTTTTTCGGTAATCGGTTTAAGAAAAAACAATGTTGACCTGTTCTTTTCCATGATTTTCTCATATTCATTTGGTTGCTTATGGGTTTTCATTTTAAAAATCAAAATCTAAAGTGGAAGTGTCAACTTATGTACACAAACAAATCTAAAAAAGTTGGTTGATTTTATCTCTATATATTTTAAAACACAGCATGTAACTGTATATGTGTAGCTTAAATTAAGGTCCCATGCCACCTTGTTCAATCAAAGAATATGGGTTTGGGTTACCCTGGATGCAACACTAATAAGTCTGTAAATGTAATGTATTTCAGAATATGGTTTCACTCTTTGCTCGGCTGGCTGTAGAAAATATAGGCCACATAGACTGGGAGCCCCTAATCCCAAAGGTGAGTTGCTTATAAAGTGGAGTAAGTTGAATATATGGCACACATAAACTAAAACAAAAGGTTATACTCGGTTTAAAGTGTGCAGTTAATTGGTATTGGTATATTGTACAAAAAATGAGTTTGTATAAAAGAGGAAATTAGGAATTGTATGCAATGTTTATACTTGTAGATAAAACTATATGCTATTGAGATCAAAGTAGAGTGGCAAATATTATGGGAGGATTTGGATTAATGCACTGTCATCAACCTATTCAAATCTGGAATATATTATGCTTGTGACATGTTTCAGATCTTTACACGCCTGCTAAGGAGTCTGAATCTCCCTGTTGGAAACAAAACAGTTCAAGTAAACCACCCCAACTCAGGGTATGAGACACCAACGACAGCACCTTGGATTATTGCAATGTTGGTATGTATCTGTTGCAGTATTTTTCCGCCAACTACAGGGTTTATGTTCTCAAGTCTTTGCAGGTTATTCACTATTTAAATGTGTGAGTAGCTAGCCACGAGGCAGGGCAATATTAAACAGAAAACATTTTCAGTTTGAAAAACTAAAAATCATGTTTTCCCTGTCAAATATTCCTTGCCTATTTTCTTAATCCTGACTACATTCCCTGAGTGTATAATAAACTTGAAAAGGATTATTATCTGATCTTGGAATCTAGTCATTGTATACTGTATGAGACACCAACCGCTCCACATTGAATAGTTGGTATATTGGGTATATTGTAATCATTCTTATTGAAAAAGCTTCATGTTTTTTTTGTGTTTATATTCTAGGGTGGGGGAAGTTCCTGTCAAGAACATGTTGAGAAACTATTCAAAGCCCTAGAGACATTCTACCATCCTTCTAACCTTGGAAAATGGCATGTAAGTATAAAGTCATAAATTAATGTAAAGGCAAACTTACACAATGGTTCACAATTGAGGTATCAATAATAACATTTTGTTTTTATGCCACCAGAAGTGGCTCCAACTTTTTTTTTGTTGTTGGTGTTCAGCATCTGTAACAGCGTTTGGCGTCTGTAGCAGCCTTCAGCGGTTGGCATCTGCAATAAATGGCAGGTGTTGACATTTTACATGTCAATGTGTTGTATTGTTCTTTGAAATAATTTTAAGGTCAAAATATTGATGTCTTCAAATATATGATCATATGCCACATGTGATAAATTGAAATTTTCTGCGATATTTTTAGAAACCTCTGTCTCAGATATTACGAGTTTTACCTCGTGCATTTACGTCAAGAATTCACAGGTAATTTATATGTAAATGAAATAGTTGTATAATATGGCTACATTTTCATAGCTTTTTATAGGTTAGGAGGCATTTGTTTCTGTGAAGGTCATGCTTTTGTCATCAAATTAAAATGTGTGTTCACCATGAACGTGTGGTTAAGATAACATTCTTTCCCATGGAGATCATTTTAGAAAATGATATTCATAATACAAGAATATAATATCACATCTCTGGAGATTTTCTCATTTTAATAAATCAATATTTTGATTTGATGACACGAAGCATGACCTCCAGACAGTTAATGTATAAAACCTAGCATAGATGGGCACAGGGCTGCTGGAAACTTTAATATTTTTATATTAATTATTTTTAGCTATCTGGGCCAGGCTTTTGCATTGAAACCCCTATACTAGTAAAGCCTCTTAGCTAAAGATATGCTATTATATAATACAAGCAGATACGGCTTAGAGCGCCATCCTTATGCACACATGCGTCTGATGATTTGTGATACATCACAATGGCATTAACACATACCTAAATGAGGCAAACAATATGAGGCATAACTGGATGAGGCATACCTAAATGAGGCAAATTCAATGAAACATACCTAAGAAAGGCAAACACAGTGATGAATACAGAAATGAGGCAAAAGATAGTTGACATGCCTTAATGAGGCAAAGACTATGATGCATACCGAAATAAGGCAAATACAATGAAAAATACCATAAAGCAAACACAGTTATGCATACAGAAATGAGGCGAAAAATAGTTAACATGCCTTGATGAAGCAAACACAATAATACATTTCACATTTATATGAGGTAAAATACAATGCAACCCTATACGAGGCAAATGATTTGTGACTTGCTTTAATGAATTAAGACAATTTGGAACATACCTAAATGAGGCAAACAATATGATACATACCTTTAAAGGCATACATAAATGAGGCAAAATATATGTGACATACCCCAATGAGGCTAACAATAGAAGCTATACCTAAATGAGGCAAACAATATGATACATACCTTAAAAGGCATACATAAATGAGGCAAAATATATTTGACATACCCCAATGAGGCTAACAATATAAGCTATACCTAAATGAGGCAAACAATATGATAAATATACCTGTTTGATTTACAGAAGGGACATGTCCCATTTCAAAACAACATGTGATCGATCGAAACAATTATCATATATCACAACTTGATAAACACAAGGAATTTGAACTACATCAGTGACACCTATATTACTCAGCCAAAACATAGTCTATGGATAGACTATTTAGTGACATTAACAGCCAAATGACTGATTTAAGATACTCAAAGAATCCAAACAACATGTAGCTGCAGCATACCCAAATAATACACAAAAGGTGTTACATATACTGTACTCGTACAAATCCAAAATGACATGTAATGTATTAGAATAGTCCACAAAAAAGCAATTTACTTAAGAATCAAAACAACATGTATGTTATATACACTATGAGACCCAAACGACATGAAATATACATAAAGTACCCACTCAACATGTAATTTACCTTAGCTATACCCAAAGTATCCATGCAGCAGGTAATTTACCCAAAGAATCCAAACAACATGCAATTTACCCAAAGAATTCAAACAACATGCAATTAACCCAAAGAATCCAAACAACATGCAATTTACCCAAAGAATCCCAAAGAATCCAAACAACATGCAATTTACTCAAAGAATCCAAACAACTTGCAATTTACCCAAAGAATCCAAACAACATGTAATTTACCCAAAGAATCCCATTGAATCCAAACAACATGCAATTTACCCAAAGAATCCAAACAACTTGCATTTTACCCAAAGAATCCAAACAACACGCAATTTACCCAAAGAATCCCATTGAATCCAAACATGCAATTTACCCAAAGAATCCAAACAACATGCAATTTACCCAAAGAATCCAAACAACATGCAATTTACCCAAAGAATCCAAACAACTTGCAATTTACCCAAATAATCCAAACAACATGAAATTTACCCAATGAATCCCAGAGAATCCAAACAACATGCAATTTACCCAAAGAATCCAAACAACATGCAATTTACCCAAAGAATCCAAACAACATGCACTTTACCCAAAGAAGCCAAACAACATGCAATTCACCCAAAGAATCCAAACAACATGCAATTTACCCAAAGAATCCAAACAACATGCAATTTACCCAAAGAATTCAAACAACATGCAATTTACCCAAAGAATCCAAACAACATGCAATTTAGCCAAAGAATCCAAACAACATGCAATTTACCCAAAGAATCCAAACAACATGCAATTTACCCAAAGAATCCAAACAACATGTAATTTACCCAAAGAATCCAAACAACATCCAATATTCTCAAAGAATCCAAACAACATGTAATTTACCCAAAGAATCCAAACAACATCTAATATTCTCAAAGAATCCAAACAACATGTAATTTACCCAAAGAATCCAAACAACATGCAATTTACCCAAAGAATCCAAACAACATGCAATTTATCAAAAGAATCCAAACAACATGCAATTTACCAAAATAATCCAAACAACATGCAATTTACCCAAAGAATCCAAACAGCATGGTGCAACTTACCCAAAGAATCCAAACAACATGCAATTTACCCAAAGAATCCAAACAACATGTAATTTACCCAAACAACATCCAATATTCTCAAAGAATCCAAACAACATGTAATTTACCCAAAGAATCCAAACAACATGCAATATTCCCAAAGAATCCAAACAACATGCAATTTACCCAAAGAATCCAAACAACATGCAATTTACCCAAAGAATCCAAACAACATGCAATTTACCCAAAGAATCCAAACAACATGCAATTTACCCAAAGAATCCAAACACCTTTTTTTTCCTTTTTTTCATATATTTATTCTTCATACATAATACAGCAAATTATACTGAGAAAAGCTTGACAAGCTAAAAGGATCATCTTGATATGTCTAAAAAGTTAAGAGAAGTTGATTTGATTTAATTGCTCAACACCACTGGATTTCCAGATAGATAGAGTCTTAATTAATGATCTTCATCGTCTCAAAAACTCAGTCACTTAAAGAAAAATCATTTGCATCCCTTAATTCATCTTGCTCGTTTCTTGTCATGAATTCGAAAGTTTATCACATATTGTTAATTTTTCTAGTATTTGTCCATCATTATTTGTTTGTCTTCATCACATAATCATAGGCATCTGAATCATACATATGATCCTCTCCTAAATCATCAAGGAAGCGCATATATCTTTCCCTACATGTTGCGAGGCTGAAGTTAGTAAGTCCTGCTACATCACGTGTTGAAATCGAATCAGTGTTTGTCAGTTTGGAAACTTTGTTATTTTCACATTGTGTTGATTTGTTGTCAGATTGTTTTTTGATGTTGACACTGCAGCCTCTGTGTTTTTTATCCAAATTGTTTGTTTTAGTGGCAACATGTTGCACTTTTAACTCTGTTGCACTTGATTGGTGTCTTTTTTGTTTAACATCTGTTTGCATCCCAACATTCACTTTTTTGATTCTGTCTCCCGAATTCGGCAATATTGAATTAAATCCACTGTTATCTCTATAATCACCCCCAGTTTCATTATTATTGTTTACAATGTCACTGTTTTCATTATTACAGTTTTTAAACAAGTCTCCATTTAGTACAGGCTTCACAGGTGTTGACTGTTCACATAATCCTATTTGTTCATGGTGTTTTGATTCTCTCAACAGCTTTTTGTTAGAATTGTAATCACTAATCCTATTTGCATTTCTAATAAGTCTACTTGGTGACTTGGTACTGGTTTGTGACCTTTGGTTGTAAAAATGGTGCAACTTACCCAAAGAATTCAAACAACATGCAATTTACCCAAAGAATCCAAACGACATGCAATTACCCAAAGAATTTAAACAACATGCAATTTACCCAAATAATTTAAACAACATGCAATTTACCCAAAGAATCCAAACAACATGCAATTTACCCAAAGAATCCAAACAACGTGCAATTTACCCAAAGAATCCAAATAACATGCAATTTACCCAAATAATTTAAACAACATGCAATTTACCCAAAGAATCCAAACAACATGCAATTTACCCAAAGAATCCAAACAACGTGCAATTTACCCAAAGAATCCAAATAACATGCAATTTACCCAAAGAATCCAAACAAACTGCAATTTACCCAAAGAATCCAAACAACGTGCAATTTACCCAAAGAATCCAAACAACGTGCAATTTACCCAAAGAATCCAAATAACATGCAATTTACCCAAATAATTTAAACAACATGCAATTTACCCAAAGAATTTAAACAACATGCAATTTACCCAAAGAATCCAAACAACGTGCAATTTACCCAAAGAATCCAAACAACATGCAATTTACCCAAAGAATCCAAACAACGTGCAATTTACCCAAAGAATCCAAACAACATGCAATTTACCCAAAGAATCCAAACAACATGCAATTTACCCAAAGAATCCAAACGACATGCAATTTACCCAAAGAATCCAAACAACATGCAATTTACCCAAAGAATCCAAACAACATGCAATTTACCCAAAGAATCCAAACGACATGTCATATACTCCAACATCAATGTAATATGTGTACATAGTGACAACTTTTACACCTTAACTTGCATACTTTCTGATTATGTTATTTGAATATGTGTATTTAAGACAAAACTAGCTAAGCTGATGTTGAGACTTCCCGTTCAGTTATGCAAGCGTTTAAATAGGTATGTGCAAGTTGTCAAATTAATAACACCAAAAAGTTTGTTTTTGCATATTTTTCTGGCTTTTTGTTTGTTATCTTCATTTTCATATTTTGTCACGGTTGCATTTATAGGATATGATTCAATGTCAAATGATGAAACCAGTGGAAAGGATAATCTTCTTATCTATCAAATATTTTGGGAAATCTGGTGCCTCCGAGGTGATCTTCATAATTGAAGATTGCTAACTACCAAAATATGAGAAATCAAACTTTTGGTTAAATTAATTTGATTTGTATTTTTGGGAGCTTTTGTGATCTATTAGAAAGAATGTGATGGGGCATGCTGGGATAGCTTCATGCAAGTTTGTTGCCATGGTTGCCAAATCCACATCAATTCACGTGGATTTCGTTTTGGGCAACCATAGCAGTATAATGCATCGCTTCATTTAAATAAAATTAGTATCTATTTTCTATTTCAATGTTATATAATTCTCGAATCATGGGTGTAGCCAAGGAGGAGACTGGCAATTCTCTTGCCAGAACTTAAAGTAAACTGTTAATTCATCTGTTTTTTCAATTGCTACTTTGAAAATGAAGACTTAATGTGTTATCCCATTTTAAGGCTACACCTCTGATTATAAGCAGTTTAAATATTGAATCTCTTCATATTCGTATTACATATTACAGTCTGTCAGTCAATTCCATAAAACTTCTAAATAAATATTTGTGATAAACAAATTGGTTTTACATTATAGGGAGAGATACAAAAAAGAAACATGGCAGCCTAAAATCCCAGAATCCCACTTACTAACTGATGATGACGTCACACGGTTCGTGGAGTGCATCAAGCCTGTTGTATTCCTCGGAATGTTTAGTAAACTTGGTAGCAGTGATGCATGTGTCACGTTCCATCATCTCGCAACGCTGAGGCCAGAGCTGATTATTCCACCGTTACTTGAGAAGTAAGGTACCAATATCGAGAAATCGAATATTTGGCCATGTTTGTTCATTTATGGTCATGTTATATTAGGTAGTCGGAATGATGGCTCAAAAGTGCCAGGAAAGTACTTTTTAATGTACAGTTGCAACATATTCTCGAATTGTTATTGTAATGCGAAGAGTTATGTTTTGTGACATTTTGGAAGAAGAGTGTTTGATTTCAACTTTGTGTCACAATTTGAAATTTGAGTTCTGACAAGAACATGTACTATGACTTCATGTAATGTGACAACATGTAGTGTGACAACTTGTACTGTGACTTCATGTAATGTGACTTCATGTAATGTGACAAAAGGTAATGTGACATGACAACATGTAATGTGACTTCATGTAATGTGACAACATGCAATGTGACTTCATGTTATGTGACAACATGTAATGTGACAAAAGGTAATGTGACATGAAAACATGTAATGTGACAAAATGTAATGTGACAAAAGGTAATGTGACATGAAAACCTGTAATGTGACTTCATGTAATGTGACAACATGTAATGTGACAAAAGGTAATGTGACATGAAAACATGCAATGTGACTTCATGTAATGTGACAACATGTAATCTGACTTCATGTAATGTGACAAAATGTAATGTGATGTGACAACATGTAATGTGACAACATGTAATGTGACAACATGTAATGTGTCTTCATGATGTTTTATATGTAATTTTCATGAAGGATGTACCCAGCCTTAGAGACACTGACAGAGCCCCACAGACTGACGGCATGTCTCTTGTGTACCACATCTACAGCCAGATCCATGCTATCTAACCCTAGATGGTATCCTGAAGGACCTACACACGTCCTACCCTTACTCAATCTCACTCTTCCGGGACTTGACCCTAATGACATTAGGAAAACATTGGTAAGTAGCTTTAAAACTGTTTTTATGTCATCACCCCAAGTGGTGATATATTGTTATAATCTCCAACTTTTTTGTGGATGCCAGTTTGGGTTTTGCGGTCAGCATCTGTAACAAATGGCAGGTGATGACATTTTGCATGTTAGTGCCTTGTATATAAGTGAAGCTTTCACCTGAAAGCCAATTGTTATTTGGAGGTGTAAATAAAAAATAGTTTTATGTGATTAAATTGTATTATTTTATCATTCACATGTAAAAATGTTAATAGAAATTACTGCTTTGTTGAGAAGGTTGAGAGTAAGTTTCTATAAAGTATCTGCTTCTAAAATCTTCATGAACTTCTTTTCATCGAAAATAAGAAGAGGATTTAGGGGAAGTAGTCAAGGAAATTCAAAAGTAAATATCAACAAAATAAAATTTACCTTTATGATCTATCTCACATAATCATATTCTGTCCAATCATTTTTCAGGTAACCTTTCAAATGATCTCCACGCTTGTTTCATTGGTGCCGATTGTTGACTGTAGTGCTGCCACCTATGAACTAGACAATCTGAGTGAGATCGAGAAAGAATTGTGTTCTGCCTCTGCTCAGTTTGAGGATTACGTACTACAGTTCATGGATAGGTGAGATTTTAACAAAAGTAAATAAAGCTTAATGAAATAGAGCTTGTTATACCACCATTTGTCCATTTAAAGTTGTACAACATGGTTATACTTAATATAACAGTGATAAACAGATCATATGGCCAGGGTGTATAACATTTATATACAGATAAAGAAATTTCAAGTTAAGGCAGACATTTTATCATACTCTTTGCTTATCATGAAAATTTGTCCACTATAAATTCAAAATGAGTCAAGTTTCTACAACTAGTGCAGGTCGAGGCTAATTTTGATTTGGTCTTAGGAAACTGAAACCTGAGAGGAGTGAATAATCGTAATCTTGGACCATATCAATCTTCAACTCCATACTTCCTTTTGTTGATTTCAGGATATTTTCACAAATCAAAATGCTTCCAAGACTAGATTAATTAAATCATAAAGTTTTGCTTATTTAGCGCAAAATAAGATATTGTCATCCTCGCATCATTTTTTTCATTTCAGGATGTTTGCACTCATAGAGAACAGTGCTCATGAACCAAACAGTCGCATGGATACCACTACACATAGCTACAAACTGAGCCCCGAGGAGCAAATGTTAGAGATTGGGCTGCTATCTACATTCAACTCTATACTGCAGCAGAGTTCTACTAAGATATACAAGGTAAGGTCTACACCCCCCTCTCATCATCTAGTTCCCCCACACATATAACATTTTCTAACAAATGTAAGAGATAGGGTTGCTATCTACATTCAACTCTATACTGCAGCAGAGTTCTACTAAGATATACAAGGTAAGGTCAACACCCCCCTCATCATGTAGTTCCCCCACACATATAACATTTTCTAACAAATGTAAGAGATAGGGTTGCTATCTACATTCAACTCTATACTGCAGCAGAGATCTACTAAGATATACAAGGTAGTTAACATCAGTACCACCCCTCCCCCATCTAGACCCTCATACACATAAGTAACTGAGCCCTGATATGGGGAGAAAATTGCCCTGTGCGTTCTTGGCTACCTATAAATTTCACCTACTCTAAACAAAACATTTTTTGCATTTTCAATTGAATTTAATTTTAAGGCAGCAAATATATAGTTTTATATAATTTTAATGCTCACTAATGAATACAAAAATGCACTAAATCAGATTTAAACTTTTTGTATAAAAATGATTCTCGATGATTTGTAGAATACTTATAGTGATTGCAATGTATCTACAATGATACTTTTCATTAATGATATGCATGTATACTTATGAAGTTTTCCAACAGTTATAAAGTCATTATCAGTGTCCATCATTTTATACAGTTGTGTGTATTCTCTAATCTATTGTAACTTTTTGGATTGATATACATGTATACAGTAAATATATATTCACAGTCAATGTATTCATTTTCATGATTTGATAGTTGATAATGTATTCAAAGCTTGAAGTTTATGTTCCACAATATGTTACATATGTTCAGAATGACAGTCTATGTATCATAGTCCATATATCAATGCATTGGTCATGTCCATGTTTCACTGTGTAGTTCCTCTACTCAATGTACTTGATGATGGCTAGATCTCCATTTAATGACCCCACAATGAGATCACCTTGTTGATCAATGGCAACACATTGGGGGTACTTCACACCATCCTCAGCCTCCAACAAGTACTTGATGAATGTCCCATTAGGGTCTACCATGTGAACTCTGTGGTTTTTATGATCAGCAATGATGAGATTGTCCTGAGCGTCAATGCAGACTCCCAATGGATCATTCAACTGACCTTTTCCTGCACCATTGGAGCCATATGCACCTGGTACCTCTTCACCTTGCATGGTGAACCTCTTCACACAATCTCCCCAAGTATCAGACACAAATATGATACCTTTGTGATTTATTGTTACATAGCGAGAGAATGTGAGCTTTCCTTCACCAATAGTAGCCAATACATTCCCATCATTACAGTCAATAAGGTAGACACACTTGGCACCATAATCAACAACCAGTAGTTTACCATCTGCTGTCTCACATAATCCAATGGGATCTTGAAACTTCCCAATATTCCTCTGATGCTCCAGCTTGTGATCAAATACTGCTATGCATTTGTTGTTGCGATCAACAGCTGCATAACATTGAGACTGAATACAACACACATCCCAGAAGTGACCCTGGGCTTTATGCTGCAGGGTAAAGGAATCAGCAGTATAAGTTGCAAGACCTTTGTCACCATGAGATACAACAATGTTGTTGTTAAATCCTCTTGTGATACCCCATATGAATGTTACTCCTGGGTTCTTGTCAGGTAGATGTACCTTTCTGGATATCTTAGGATCACGGTACTTTGGAACCTTCAGCTTCTTCCCCAAATTAGATGTATCAAGGATGCCAGGTTGATATTTGTAGGGGTCAAGAGGTACAACATTCTCTTCAGGCAAAGTGGACCATTCTTCCAATTTCTTAAGTACATTAGCACTGTAGTTGAGGACATCTACAGGATGGTTATATTTTCTGAGATGATTCAACTGAAGCAATGTACTCTCAGTTATCCCTTTGTTTAGTTGGAACTGGTCCTGGTTTGCTTGGATCTTCTTCTTTTTCTTATAAGCAACAGCTTTGGCTTTATTTCTGAGCTTATCAAAATGTTCATCCAATTGTTTCTTCTTAGCAGCATGATCGGCATCTATGTCTCGGAGTACAGCTTGTGTGTTTCTCTCACATGATTGAATGGAATCATGGGCTGATTGGATGAATTTATCAAATATTTCTTTCCTCTGAGTGGCTAAACCAAGTAATGCAGCTATGTTGTGTTCTTCTCCTTTTGCTGCTTCTTCAATGGCTTGACAGTTGTGACCAGGATGTTCTGTGATTGAACAGTCCCTGCAAATAACAGCTTTATCTTGCTTGCAAAAGAATCTGAGAGGCTGATTGGGATGCTTTGGACATTCTATGTTGCGCTTTACATAATTATTCAGGGCAGCTCTAGCATCCTTCTCGGCATCTCCAGTCAAGTCATAGATTGTGTGGGATTGGGTTGCTCTCGATCTTCGATGGGCTTTATTGCAAGGCTTGCACATGTGTTCGGCACACTCGACACAACGGGACATGGCAGGTACAGCTTCACCCTCTTGAATGCAAATATCACAGTTGACATTCTGATTGTGTCCTTTGGTCAGCTGGTTCTCCAAGATCTCAACCATAGACTTGATAGTTATGTTTGTGCCATATGCATCAGCACCATTCTTTGGAATTTCGAGTTGCTTATTGCATACAGGGCATGGATATCGATCATTCCCTTTTGCTTTATGTTCTCCCATCCATTTCCCAATACATCCCTTACAAAAGGAATGTCCACAAGATATCGATTTAGGATCATTCAATGTCCCGAAGCAGATAATACAGATCAAAAGTTCTTTGTAATCATCAACTAAAACCGTTTGGGGACTTGCAGATGCCATGTTTTTCTCAATTTGTCAGTGGCTGTGTTATCTATAAGAAAATAACAATACCTCATTAGTGACAGACAAGTCCTTGGTAGATATATTCAATAAAATCATCTTTTTTTCAAAAATAGATACAAGTATGACATTGTGATAAGATGACACTTGCAACTTGTGTTAAAGTACAGGGTTGTCTCAAAACTGTTCAGAGTACTAATAATTCTGAGAAAATAGTGTTAATGTCATGGATGTGATTGTTTCTTCAATAATTACTGGTACCCGAAGTAATAATATTGTTAAGATTTTGGAACCCCCCTCAATTTTTATTCCATCAAACGAAATTCGGAGGGATATAGAGAACGCCTCTGTTCATCCGTCTGTCCATCCGTCCGTCCGTCCGTCCGTCCATACGTCCGGGCAATAACTCAAATACTGTTGGCTAGAAATGTAGATATGAAAGAAGCACATGGTAGCCATCTTGAAAAATGGCGGCCTTTACTCGCTATTTTACGATTTTTGTTGTAACTCAAAAGTAGTGGAGCGATTTTGTTCATATTTGGTATGTGAATACTATAAGCACGGCACACTGTCTAATGACACTTTTGGTAGAGGGTGGCCATTTTGAAAAATGGCTGTAATTTTTGCTATATACTTTGTTTGTAAAAATGCCAGCCATGGCTGTTCGATGGGATTTGCTACGCTTTGGCGTTGCTGTTGTCTAGTTTGAAAAGTTTAATTCTTTTAGCAAAATCAGGGGCGTTCCACTTATTCAGGTTAACCTTCAAAATAGCAACTAGGGGCATTTATTATGAAGTGGAACATGCCCTTCTTTCATTAAATCACCAAATGTGCCATTGAAACATGCCAGAAAATCTGGTAATTTTATCTCAGATAAGCAAATTTGCTATTCCATTAAAAGTAATAATGTGTTCTAAATCAGTTACCTTTTATTTGTAGACAGCATGTGGACTCTAGCCAAGTTGAGTTGTTCTAGATGAACGTAAAAGGTTTTTCTTGTGTCTGTTTAGAACTGCCAGTTATATGTGACCCAAAAGATGCCCTGAATGGATCATTTTTATGTCCTTTAAACAACTTCTTCTAAATTTCTTTGATTACACTCACATCCTAGTTCCATCAGTTTCCTCTGTTCCTGTAGATGTGAATGTGTTTCAAGTGAGACACGGCTTATATTCAATATTAAAATTTTAGTACATTAAAACTTAAGTCATAGACTTGGAGGTTAAGCCTGACACAGCTTAAAAAACTCAAAAAAACTTGTATACTGCTCCTTATGAATACTGCTGTTTCAATGCTAATGTAAATATCCTTTACAAATATAAACAGAATGTATAAAAAGCGGAGTTATTCATTGATTCATCTAACGCAACTAAAGGTTAAAGTAAAGCAACGTTACCCATTGAGAGTTTCAGTTTTCTTTTAGAGAATACATTTCTGCCTTTTATCAAAAATATGTTAAAATGTCATAACTGAGTTCATCAAAATAATTTATCAATATAAAGTTAAAAAATCATTTTTCAAAAGTGTGATATCACAAAATTTAAGTCCTAGAGCTGAACACTTGTAAATCAATGCTCCTGTTCTATACCATGGAGAATTCATGTTTTTTGAATTGATTACTACATTCATATACCATATTCCCTCCATTAAACACACAGGGCATCTCCCAAATTCTCCTATAGGATATGTCTCAAATTACAAAATCCCCAGGGAATTTCAAAAGTAAATATATGGGTGATAATAGGGTAAAACTAGACCCAGTCAAGTTCAATAGCAGAATGTCATACCTCAATATAATTGTATGGGAAATATGTGTTACTAAATAACCATACATAACAGATTTATCCCATACCAAGGTTCTAGGTTTATTGTACCTTCTAATGGTCCAAAATTTAAATAATTGATTTTCTTAAAAGTTCAAATATGTTTTCAGGAATAACTTTAGGGTATATACAGATGAGGCTGATTTTGAAGTCAAATGTTAAAATTTGAGTCTGCAAAACTACTTCACAATTTATTTTAAAACTTTGACATCTTTTGAACTCACTTCATTTATTTCCATACACTGCATCTGATTTGAGCTTTATTTGGGGCTTGGTAAAATATCTATATTCTGTAATATTCCAAATATGTTGTTCTTTAGCACAACTTGCTAAAATTGTCTATTAAAGCGCAATCAGGCCTCCATTCTTGAACAAACATTTTTGAACTCTCATATTCTAGGTTGCACTGAACAAACTGTTCCGGTTTGCCAGTAGTACAGTATTTGAACTAAAGGTGTCAGGTCGACTGTGTGCAGATATGTGTCGTGCTGCAGCTAAGACAAACCCTCCAGAAGCCTTGAAGCTGTTTATACCTCACTGTGCCAGAGTTATTAAACAGTTGACGGAGAATGCAGATGTCCAGAAAGAGGAGCATTTAGATGATGAGCTACTCTGGAACATGCAAATGCTGTCAGAGGTGAGAGAATGGAAGAAATATGAAGCTCTGTTTTTTAGAAACTAGAAGAGCATATAAGGGTACTGGAAAGATGATTTTGGATATAGGTTTTATACTGAGGGATATATGAGGGTTAGGTAGTTGAAGGTTTCAGATATATAGGGTTTATGTACTGGGAGGTTTTGGCTATAGGATTATTCCCGAGGGATATATCTCCATTAACAAACATGGAAGAGTATATAGGTTTAACATCCTCCGAACACAGGCCTCCAGAACGCAAGGAAGGAACCTAATGGATGAGGTCTTGAACCCTGCATTTGGAGGATGACGTTTAAATGTCAGTTCAAATGAGTACTGCACATTCAGATTGTTTTTCCTGAAAATCTTCAGCATTAGTTATCTTCAGCAATATTCCTTTGAATTTTATCTTTGGCATAATAGTAAATATGTCTGTGTGTGATTCATTTTTCATAATTTCTCGTAACTTTAGTGAAATAATTGGGTGTTGTGAGCTCTTTAGTAACGCATTGATGTAAAAATCATTGTGCGTGTTTACTCTTTAACACTGACATATTTTTAAAAGTTTTCAATTATTTGCAGGTACTAAGGTGCAATGGGACAGATATATTACCATATAAGGAAGACATTAAGGTGGTTTTACAAAGAACCATCCACCTTACCTGTAAACAGGGCTATGAGCTCTCACATGTTTTACTGCAACACCTCCTTAAGGCGCTAACGATGATCTATCCATTGGACTTTAGGAGCATACCTGAAGATTTCTCACAACCGTTCAAGGATTATTTGCCAATCAGGGTAACAAAACTTAGATACTTAAATGGTCAATTGTTGAAAAGATTATGGTCTTCACTGTCTAGCTTTACAAATAAATTCTAGTTCATTTAAACATGGTCCCGGGGGGTTCACTGTATATAAAATTCGACGGGGGTCCTAGGCTGAAGCCTCAAATATCAATATGTTCCCATACCAATCTGTCAAATTTCAATATGTTCCCATACCAACCAAAATAATGCCCAAAGGCCATACCAAATGTCCAAATATAGGACCAATGCCATACCAAATGTCCAATTATGGGACCAATGCCATACCAATTGTCAAAATGTAGAACCAATGCCATACCAAATGTCCAAATATGGGACCAATGCCATACCTTAAAGAAGATACTTCGGGAAACGATCCAAAACAACTTCAAATTTGCAACTACTGGACCAATGCCATACCACGAATGTTAGGTAACGTATCTACAACGACCATTCTCATACCAGAAGAGCAAAAGTCCCACCATTGCCATACCTCAGAAGTCAAAAATTTCCGGGCATTCCCATACCAAATCCTAAAATATGGGTCCATTGCCATACCAAACGTTGAAAAAGGTACCCCACATGCGCCGAGGATCCCCGTCAAGGTTTATATATAGTGAACCCCCCGGGAACATGGTATTTCCTGATATTAATAAACATAAAATAACAAGACAGAAAAGTCGGGATATAGTGGTTAAAATAGCAATTCTTACAGTAAAATTAATAATTCACAAATGCCAAATCTTAAAACAGAAAACAATGTTTGTTTGCGTTTTTCTGATATTCACTTTCTCAAATCAGGATTGGGGCAAATCTGCAGACATCCATGACTTGAAGATGGTCTGGCACACACCTAGTGACAGTGAACTAAAGTTTGTACAGGAACTTATAGATGCTATTCTTGTCCCCGAACTACAGGTGATGGACAGTTTCGTTGCAGGTGAACCTTTATCAAGGTGAGTTAATGAATTAATAATAGTGAATTGATATTGGCTATTTGATTCATAGAAGTGATTTGATTGAAATTGGTGAGTTGGTCTATTGTGGTGAGTTGATCTGTTGTGGTGAGTTGATCTGTTGTGGTGAGTTGATCAATTGTGGTGAGTTGATCTATTGTGTTGAGTTGATATATTGTGATGAGTTGATCTGTTGTGTTGAGTTGATCAGTTGTGGTGAGTTCATATATTGTGGTGAGTTGATCTGTTGTGGTGAGTTGATCTGTTGCGTTGAGTTGATCAGTCGTGGTGAGTTGATATATTGTGGTGAGTTGATCTGTTGTGGTGAGTTGATCAATTGTGGTGACTTGATCTATTGTGTTGAGTTGATATATTGTCATTAGTTGATCTGTTGTGTTGAGTTGATCAGTTGTGGTGAGTTGATATATTGTGTTGAGTTGATCAATTGTGGTGAGTTGATCAATTGTGCTGAGTTGATCTATTGTGGTGAGTTGATCAATTGTGCTGAGTTGATCTATTGTGGTAAGTTGATCTATTGTGCTGAGTTGATCAATTGCGCTGAGTTGATCTATTGTGGTGAGTTGATCTATTGTCGTGAGTTGATCAATTGTGCTGAGTTGATCTGTTGTGGTGAGTTGATCAATTGTACTGAGTTGATCTATTGTGGTGAGTTGATCAATTGTGCTGAGTTGATCTATTGTGGTGAGTTAAACTTTTGTGCTGAGTTGATCTATTGTGGTGAGTTGATCTATTGTGCTGAGTTGATCTATTGTGGTGAGTTGATCAATTGTGGTGAGTTGATCTATTGTGCTGAGTTGATCTATTGTGGTGAGTTGATATATTGTGCTGAGTTGATATATTGTGGTGAGTTGATCTATTGTGCTGAGTTGATCTATTGTGCTGAGTTGATCTATTGTGGTGAGTTGATCTATTGTGGTGAGTTGATCTGTTGTGGTGAGTTGATTGATATAGCTGATTTGATATAAGTTCATCTTTATTGGTGGAGTGATATGCATGAGTTATTGATAAGTTGATATGTAACATTTCCCATTCTTTTTAAAAGTTTTCAGATTGATTAGTTCCCAGTGACATAAGATATTTATAAATTGATGATCTATAACATTAAAAATAGGCATTCTATTTTTCAAGAGTTATTAATAGTAGGTAGTTGTACCCATTGCTAAATATGACAAATGTGTTGTTTATTATAGGGATGATCTAAAAGCAAGGCTGGGAGTAATACTCAACATTGTAATAGGAGCTGGCAATGAACTGCCCATGATAGAAGGAGAAGCTATACACCTGTAAGTCTCTATGTATGCTAGAAAGAGAACCTATACATCTAAACCATTAAACAGTTAGGCTATAGAGAATCACACCAACAGTCATGCAGATCTGCCCCCCCAACCGTTTAAGGGTTAAGTTTAACTGTATACACTTTGTATTAGACATCTCAGAGCCTGGTATTTCATTATGACTGATTTAACAATGAAATGATCCTGAATGAAATGATCCTGAATGAAATGTTTTTGTTATTTTTGTCATCCAACTTCTTTCAACAGTACTTACATGTTCATGAAATAAGAAACGATCCTCAAAAAAGTATTTTTATCTGAGAAGCAAATGTGTCATATATAGTCAACAGAGTGTGTATTTACTAAGTACGTATTGTTCTTGATATCATATTTCTGTCAACATACAATTAATTTTCATGAATATTTTTCAAATATGCAACAGTGTCAGGAAAAGATTTTTTTTATTCAGTAGTAATATCACATACATTTAATACAATATACTATTCAGCTTGATATCCTTTTGGATATCTAAAGAATTTAATTACAATATTCAATTACAATATTTTGTTCAAAACTTAATTTTTCATCTAGGCAAATGAACTTGATTGATTGGTTCGAATTTCATCTTACGTATTGTGTATTTTCTTTTCCTTGTGTTTAAGCATTGACAGCATGGTACCACTAGGCAGGTGTAGTCATATATGTAATATAGGAACATCACAATTAACTGCTCAGGGGAAACATGTACGTCGTAGGATAGCGGAAACCATGCAGCCGCTACTAAGTAAGTCTCTTGTTTTTGGTATTACTATACAGGGTGTCAAATAAATATGTTCTCCCCCTTGATTTCAAGAGTATGAACTTTTGTGCATTTAAGTGCACAAAGGTGAGCTAGTCATTTGAAACTTCTTGTAGAGTTGCTCCATGAAGCCTAGTTTTAATGTGGTAAAGAACAGTTCAGATATCATACAGACAAAAAAGTTATGCAAGGATGTTAAAGTTGAGGGGAGTACATATTTTTTTGACACCCTGTTCTATTCAGAGTCTGGCCAACTCTGGGTATCTTGAGAAATATTTTGAGAATAAATGCCTTTTTGGTGTAAAAAGAGTGTTTCTATTTAAGAGAAATTTAACATTATAGGCTTTGCACCCATGTCTTATTGACATGAAACACCCATTAGAAGTGTTGCTTTGATTTATAGATGTCAAACCATTTTACATTGCTAGTACAAAGTTTATGCTTCTGAGAACTAGCTTGCATACCAAACTGAGGCTTTAGTAAAGAATTAAAATTTTCAATAAATGAAAAAATTCCTGCATCAAAGTGTTAAACAGTAAAAACTGGAACGAAGCATAGCGTGATAGAATGAAAAACTGCCATCTTTATCTTACATGGTTCATACATTGAGCACTTTGTAGTCTAATAACTGGGTTACCTCATTTCTAGGTCATGTATTAACAAACACAGAAGATGACACAAAATCTCTGATCCATATATTGAAGCTATTCAATGTTGTCATGTACTTCAATGGGCAATTGATATATATCTTACATTGTTCATACATTGAGCACTTTGTAGTCTACTAAATGGGTTACCTCATTTCTAGGTCATGTATTAACAAACACAGAAGATGACACCAAATCTCTGATCCATATATTGAAGCTATACAATGTTGTCATGTACTTCTATGGGCAATTGATATATATCTTACATTGTTCATACATTGAGCACTTAGTGGTCTAATAACTGGGTTTCCCCATTTCTAGGTCATGTTTTAACAAACACAGAGGATGACACCAAATCTCTGATCCATATATTGAAGCTATACAATGTTGTCATGTACTTCTATGGGCAATTGATATATATCTTACATTGTTCATACATTGAGCACTTTGTAGTCTACTAAATGGGTTACCTCATTTCTAGGTCATGTATTAACAAACACAGAAGATGACACCAAATCTCTGATTCACATACTGAAGCTATACAATGTCGTCATTTACTTCAATGGGCAATTGATATATATCTTACATTGTTCATACATTGAGCACTTTGTAGTCTAATAACTGGGTTACCTCATTTCTAGGTCATGTATTAACAAACACAGAGGATGACACCAAATCTCTGATCCATATATTGAAGCTATACAATGTTGTCATGTACTTCTATGGGCAATTGATATATATCTTACATTGTTCATACATTGAGCACTTAGTGGTCTAATAACTGGGTTACCTCATTTCTAGGTCATGTATTAACAAACACAGAGGATGACACCAAATCTCTGATCCATATATTGAAGCTATACAATGTTGTCATGTACTTCTATGGGCAATTGATATATATCTTACATTGTTCATACATTGAGCACTTTGTAGTCTACTAAATGGGTTACCTCATTTCTAGGTCATGTATTAACAAACACAGAAGATGACACCAAATCTCTGATTCACATACTGAAGCTATACAATGTCGTCATGTACTTCAATGGGCAATTGATATATATCTTACATTGTTCATACATTGAGCACTTTGTAGTCTAATAACTGGGTTTCCCCATTTCCAGGTCATGTATTAACAACCACAGAAGATGACACCAAATCTCTGATTCACATACTGAAGCTATACAATGTTGTCATGTACTTCTACATGTATGGACAATTGATATATATCTTACATTGTTCATACATTGAGCACTTTGTGGTCTAATAACTGGGTTTCCCCATTTCTAGGTCATGTATTAACAAACACAGAAGATGACACCAAATCTCTGATCCATATATTGAAGCTATACAATGTTGTCATGTACTTCTATGGGCAATTGATATATATCTTACATTGTTCATACATTGAGCACTTAGTGGTCTAATAACTGGGTTACCTCATTTCTAGGTCATGTATTAACAAACACAGAAGATGACACCAAATCTCTGATCCATATATTGAAGCTATACAATGTTGTCATGTACTTCAATGGGCAATTGATATATATCTTACATTGTTCATACATTGAGCACTTTGTAGTCTAATAACTGGGTTTCCCCATTTCCAGGTCATGTATTAACAACCACAGAAGATGACACCAAATCTCTGATTCACATACTGAAGCTATACAATGTTGTCATGTACTTCTATGGGCAATTGATATATATCTTACATTGTTCATACATTGAGCACTTTGTGATCTTATAACTGGGTTACCTCATTTCTAGGTCATGTATTAACAAACACAGAAGATGACACCAAATCTCTGATTCACATACTGAAGCTATACAATGTTGTCATGTACTTCTATGGGCAATTGATATATATCTTACATTGTTCATACATTGAACACTTAGTGGTCTAATAACTGGGTTTCCCCATTTCTAGGTCATGTTTTAACAAACACAGAAGATGACACCAAATCTCTGATCCATATATTGAAGCTATACAATGTTGTCATGTACTTCAATGGGCAATTGATATATATCTTACATTGTTCATACATTGAGCACTTTGTAGTCTAATAACTGGGTTACCTCATTTCTAGGTCATGTATTAACAAACACAGAAGATGACACCAAATCTCTGATTCACATACTGAAGCTATACAATGTCGTCATGTACTTCAATGGGCAATTGATATATATCTTACATTGTTCATACATTGAGCACTTTGTAGTCTAATAACTGGGTTTCCCCATTTCTAGGTCATGTATTAACAAACACAGAGGATGACACCAAATCTCTGATCCATATATTGAAGCTCTACAATGTTGTCATGTACTTCTATGGGCAATTGATATATCTTACATTGTTCATACATTGAGCACTTAATGGTCTAATAACTGGGTTACCTCATTTCTAGGTCATGTATTAACAAACACAGAGGATGACACCAAATCTCTGATCCATATATTGAAGCTCTACAATGTTGTCATGTACTTCTATGGGCAATTGATATATATCTTACATTGTTCATACGTTGAGCACTTAATGGTCTAATAACTGGGTTTCCCCATTTCTAGGTCATGTATTAACAAACACAGAGGATGACACCAAATCTCTGATCCATATATTGAAGCTCTACAATGTTGTCATGTACTTCTATGGGCAATTGATATATATCTTACATTGTTCATACATTGAGCACTTTGTAGTCTAATAACTGGGTTACCTCATTTCTAGGTCATGTATTAACAAACACAGAGGATGACACCAAATCTCTGATCCATATATTGAAGCTCTACAATGTTGTAATGTACTTCTATGGGCAATTGATATATATCTTACATTGTTCATACATTGAGCACTTAATGGTCTAATAACTGGGTTACCTCATTTCTAGGTCATGTATTAACAAACACAGAGGATGACACCAAATCTCTGATCCATATATTGAAGCTCTACAATGTTGTAATGTACTTCTATGGGCAATTGATATATATCTTACATTGTTCATACGTTGAGCACTTAATGGTCTAATAACTGGGTTTCCCCATTTCTAGGTCATGTATTAACAAACACAGAGGATGACACCAAATCTCTGATCCATATATTGAAGCTCTACAATGTTGTCATGTACTTCTATGGGCAATTGATATATATCTTACATTGTTCATACATTGAGCACTTTGTAGTCTAATAACTGGGTTACCTCATTTCTAGGTCATGTATTAACAAACACAGTAGGTGATGGGCTAGCTCTTAAATTGCGGTATGGAGGTAGAATTTTGAGGACCATACTAGTTACATCCTAATTTGTAATTCTCACCACAATTTGGCAATAATTAAGCAAAATTTTACAGCGTTTAGGAAAAAATCAATATTCATACCCCCCACATGACAAAAGTAGGGGGTACATAGAAAATAATTAATAACTTTACAAAATCATTATGAATAACCACATTTTTTTCAGAATATATGCACATATATGTCATTAATAACTGGTAAGAAATTGGTGACTATAGGTATGATGGTTGTTATGGAAACAGAATGTGATTGTCAAAATTTGCTAATTTGTGTCTATTTTGGGGGGCTCGTTAACGAAAAAATGCTATGTAAGCAAGTTATGCTGCAAAAATAGCATTGATCTAAGGTTTAGAAAATTGCATATATATGTCCTGCATGCATTAAAATTGGAATGATGATTGAGTCTCAATCAGAAATATTTTTAAAAAATTTTTCTATGACCCACCCCCTCTAAATAATCCAAAGTGGGCGTGGCATTTAAGTGAGTGATCAAGCCTACTTAATAGTATATAACTTCAATTGTATAGCCTGTATTATCACAATTTCAACAGAATGTAGGATTCTGGTATCAGTTAACAGTTTATATGATTTTGTTCATCCCCCTCAATATTTATAACCCCTCCTTCGTCACCACCACCCCTCCCGCGTGACAAAAGTAGGGGATACCTTGAAAATGATTAATAACTTTACAACAATGCAGCGAATAACCATCAATTTTTCAGACAGGATAAATGAATATGTAATCAGTAATTGAAAAAATTCTTGGTAATTATAGGTATGATCGTTTCTAAACAGGATTTGATCGTCACAACTTGTGAAGATATTGGGAGGGGAGGGGCTGGTTCACAAAGAGTACTATCCTAGCGAATTCTGCTGCAAAATTAGCATTGTTTTAAGGTTTAGAAAACTGCATATGTATGTCCTGCATGCATTAAAATGAAATGATGATTGGGTTTCAATTAGATTTTCTAGATTTCAATATGACCCATCCTTCTTTATAATCCAAAGTGAGTGTGACATTTAACTGTATGATCAAACCTACTTAATAG